ACATCTGAAGTAGTCCTTTATGTATTTAAAGAAAATTAGTGTTGCTGATTTCTCCCCTCATGATTGTCATTTCAGGCCATCTTTTTAAGCTCTGAAAACAAAGTCCATGTTTTAAGCATTAATTTCTACATTAAACTTTATTCAGCAACCTTGACAAAGAGGGAGGGGTCTCATGGAGCGAGTCCCAAACTAACAGGAGTTCCTCCCAGATGTGCTTTTCCTGTCAGTAATCACTGTTTGCCTCTTCTCACTTGTGATTCCTCGGGCTCCCTCAGAAGTCAGGCTAAACAGCCTGCTCCAAACCTTTTCAACGTGGGAACAGCAAGTGGCTGGCTCCTGGATTTCCTGTTACAGCTTGTGGCTGCTCCCTCTCTGTCTCAATTTTCCATCCTTAGCAGTTCTTTTCATTGACTATGAATCCTCGGATGCTCTTCTGATCAGCCTCACAGCTCTGACAAGACAGGACCCTTCTGTTAAGAAGGAATCTCCACAGTGGCTGGTATTTGTGAGTTACATGGTGTCTCCACGTTGGTATAAAACTGACAGCATAAGGAGCTGTTCTTCCCTGAGGTTGGATGGAATGTCAGTGGCAAAACAAACAGCTGCATTTTTAATCTCCCATAATTTACAAGTTAATTAGGATTACGAACATACTAAAATATGACTTCAGTTTTCTTATGTGTAAAAAGAATGATGCTATGTACACTTTAATCAGAGTTCCTTTGAGTTCTGTAGAAGTTTTCTTCTTCTAATATTATAACTAATTTTGGTGGAGGTATTTTTATATTGAAATATCTCACAACCTTTTTCCTTCTTCTGCCTAGCTTGTCCTTGTGCAGATTTTAAACCTACAATTTTTGCTTAGATGCTGCATTAAAAAATCTGTAAAGTATCGCTGTCTGCATGAAAGCTAAGGGAGTGGATTCTTGCTTTGTGACCTTGTGGCTTTCTTCAGCTTGCTAGCTACAAGACACTAGGAAAAAGATAAGCATGACTTCGAAGTTTGATCTTTAAATGCAGTGGATGGAAATAAATGATTAACTTGTATTGCTGTACCAATCTCATCATGCCAGTCTCTGATAATCTCACCAGGCTCAATTATGAAGATAATTATCAATGAGATTCCAAAGATCAGGGTGACAAAAATGCTTTTGCAGTGGGTTGCGTTCTTCGATCGCATTTATTGTTTTCTGGCTTGTTGTCAAGTTGCTCAGACAGTAGAATTCAGCTTTACCATGGAGTGCTTCTTGTTTGGGGTCAGGATAAAAATAAGATACTTATATAATATATTTTTATATTACAGTGTTATTAAACATGCTAGGAGAGATATGAATCTGTTCACACCTGTTTAAACTATGCATGTTACTTAGTTTCTGTCAGAAATTAATTTGGCTGTATTTGAACATGTTTTTTATTACATGAATCTTCTAAATTTCTAGGAAGGGATAGCATGGCTAGCTGGGCATTTAAATCATTCTAGTGCATCTAGGTCCCTTGTCATAAAGCTTGACTAAGCATTTAAACCACAATACTCAATTTTATATGGCTATAGTAAATGGATAATGCTATGTCAGTAAAGCCACCCTTAGGATAATTATGGGCTAGTTATGTAGCCTAGGATGTAGGATAACTATGGGCTAACACTGTAGCCTAACACTTCAATAAATAATGTCAAAGTATGTACTGAAGTGGATGTTGTATTGCAGCAGGCGTTGATCATAAAATCCAAAAATGCAACCTAGGATTAGTTAGCTAGGTTAGTGCAATTTGTCATAGTAGCAATGAAAATGACATGATTTTGAACAATGTCCAATCTAAACAACAGCGTTCTTTTACACCAAAGTTCATGCAAACCTTTGAGTATTAGTGACTTTTGTCACCTGTCACATACAGATTGATTCAGTAGACATGTAGGGCTTGTCTACTTGCTGAAGTATTTAAATGTGTTTCTTAATACTCTTCTCCTGTATTTTCCAAGTACATAGTAGCAAGCAAATTTAGGGAAGTAGTTTATTTTTATTTAGAATTAGAAGTTTGATGGAAGAAGGATATGAGTTATGGTGCAGTGAGCTAACATTTAGTTTTGACAGTCTGCATTTGCCTTTTGGACTTCTGCAAAATTTGAACTGGACTTTTAGTTTATTTTAGCACAGCTGTTAGCTGATTGTATATCTCTTATGGTGATTATCTGGATTAGTGACTTGAATCTAATCTCAGTCTGTAACATGGAAACTTCTCCTGAGTACATCAGGACAGCAAGGGAGCACTCTGTATAGCCCTGATAATAAAGCACTTACATAGAATTGAATAATAGAACTGCTCAGGTTGGAAAAGACCGTAAAGATCATCGAGTCCAACCGCAGCCTGACCATCCTACCCTAACTCTAACAATCCTCTGCTAAATCATGTCCCTGAGCACCACATCCAAACAGGTTTTAAACACATCCAGGATGGTGACTCAACCACCTCCCTGGGGAGCCTATTCCAGTGCTTAACAACCCTTTCTGTAAAGAAGTTTTTCCTGATACCCAACCTAATCTTACCCTGGTGCAACTTGAGGCCATTTCCCCTCATCCTGTCACCAGTGAGAAGAGACCAACCCCGTTCTTGCTGTAAGCACTTTTCAGATATTGGAAGAGAGCTGTAAGGTCTCCCCTAAGCCTCCTTTTCCCCAGACTAAGCAGCCAGTATATATATCCATTCATGTATCCAAAGGGAGAAGATGGCTTCAACATAGAACAGTGTTCTTTCTTTTATTCATGTCTTGTGTAAATGCAGAACTGGGACACAGACCTTAGTCCTATTCATTCTACTTCCAGCTCAGATGTTGACTTTCTGTGTGACCTTGATCAAATTAACCCCTCAACTTATCTATGAAATGACTTTTGCTTATGTTAAAAAAAAAAGTAATGTCGTAAATAATATCCAGTGACTCGATCAACTACAAAAAAAAAGTTCAGAAGAAATGTTTGCATGTGATCTTAATCACGTGTAACTTAATGGTAGGATTTAACCATTTATTTTACTCCTAGTGTATGTTAAAGATCTTCTATAATGTTAAAGAAAAACCTATGTAAAGTGCAGCTATTTATCAGTTGTTATAAAGCATTGAGAGTGTAGCAGTAGGCTATGGCTGAATTGATTAGCCTCACATTTCATCATATCAGGAAAGTGGATTTTATCATCTCTTGAAAGTAGAGGTTCAGGAAAGAAAATAATATAGCATTTTGGAGAATAGTTTAATCTCTTAGAGGATGTAAAAATACATGTTGAATAAAATAAAGCATTGGAATACTGTGGAAAACCATGCAGCCAGGCATTACAAAAAATTGGAACTGCACGTACTGAAATTAAAAGTTACTGAAATAAAATTGTAACTCATGATGTTTTTCAGCTGAAGTCCTACGTCACAGTTCTGTAAATGCTGAGAAATGCTATTCTCCTCTGAAAGACTGAAAAACAGAATGGCTGTTAGATGCCTTAAATTCAGATCCTAAAGCTCACTACTGCAAGAATTATTCTGTGAAAATCTTAAAAAGAGATTTCACAGCAACGATCGCTGCATTTTAGCAGTAGCTGGCACCTTTACTACAATAGGTGGAAGAAGGGGCTATTTTCCATTCATCAAAAAGTCATAGTTACGCAAGATGTGAAAGTCTGAGTCTAAAATTGCTTTTCACTTCTTCAACAACATACTCTAGGCTAAAGGGATATTCTTTTCAGGAATGGATAAGAAATGTATTCCAATATATTCCAGTATTACTGTGTTGAAAACAGCCTCATGTCTCTGAAAGGAATTCAAACATTCAGGAGGCAACTGAACACTGTGCAGGAACGTGATGATTCTAAGTTGGTGACTGGAGTGGAAAGATTGTAGTCCCAGAGCAAATGATTACCTGGTATATGTAGATATACGTAGATAGTTGTTGAGTTGCACTCACACGTTGAAGTGTTTCATTGGTTTGAGCAAATGGTGCTTGTGTTTTGTGCTGGACTAAATCTGGCCCTTCATAACTTTTGAATGAGACTGCTGTTCGTCAGGGTGCACATACTTGTTGGTTTTGCCTAGAGCTAAAATAATAAATAAATAAATAAACAACCCCCACCAACCCAGAACTGTTGCTGTGGAGAACCTAATAGCCAAAGATCTGGACGTGCCAAGAAGCCCATTGGCCAAGATCTAAGTTTGCACACAATGCAACTTTTGTTGCAAAAAATAAGTTTATCAGTTTTGCTAGAAGTTGGAAGGTTGGCTTTTTCATTCTCTCTTACATACTTCTCAGAAATTGACACCTGGGGGCAAACGATGAGGACAGAGTTGTATATAACAGTTTTATTTGCCAGTTCTACTTACCAATATATAATCTGGTTTCTGATAGCTCCTAGTAAATGTAGCTGCACTGCTCTCTAGTGGTTAGTAGTAGCAAATGAGTATTTGCTGTTAGAATCAGTCTCACATCAGCAGTGTGTGTTAGAAATAGCCTGATATTAATAGTGAAATTCTTGTCTGAATTTCTAGAACCTAGAGAAATTATTGAAAATGCAATATAACAAATATTTGCAGAAGCTGTATTTTTACTTGGGACAGTAAGGTAGGTGTTGAAAATTTAACTTCAATGATACTAGCTAACAAACAGTAAAATTGAATTGGCATTGTCTTTTTTATTTTAAAATACATGAAATAATACAAAGAGAATAAAGAAGAAATGAAGAACTAAGCAGCAGTTTGACTTCAGAAGATAACCTGACTCTATCCTCCATCAACTGCACAGAAAGTAGGAGAGGAGTAATATTTCTCTAAGTAATGTAATTCATTTTACTGAGTATCCATAGGACAGAAGCAAGTGAGAACCCATAACATTCAGAAGACTTTAATTCTCCTTAAAGTCAGAACATAAGATACAGAGTAACCCAGATAACCTAGTACAAAAATACTGTGTACAGAAACTGTGTTGAAATATTTTTAAGATAAAAGAATACAAACGGACAAACTTGGTGGCTAGTGATTTTGATTAGGATTTTTATTAAAGTATAATAGAAATGTATATTAAAACTTTTTACAGTGCATTTCACACTACATTCTTCAAGAGACACATGCATGTGTCTGCCACGTGAATACATAGAAGGCTCAAATTCCAACCAGTTACATCTGTGAGGTACCTTGAGCATCAGCAGGAATAGCTGAATACAGTAAAGAACAGGTGAGGCAGGTGTTGCTGAGGATGAGTCTATAGCTAGAAAAGGTGAATTTGACCTATTCCTTCACTCCTATACAGCTCAATTGAACTCCCACTGAGGTAAACAGGAATCATGTAATTAACTTTGAATGGGAATCTGAGCATACCTTAGGAACTACCATGACAAGCTCACGCAGTGAAAGTTAGTGGAAAGTATTATCTAGCATTATCACATAAATATACATTTACACACAGTGGTACTTAGATACGAGTTTCTCTATGGAAACAGACTTCTCTGTGTGGAAAATAAAATTTCCCATGCAATTTTCATATCTTGCAATGACAAAAATAAAAGATCTTGAAGTCGCAATTTGTCATGTTTAGAAAGAGTTAGCAGTTGCCAGGCCAGATTCTCTGATGTTTCTTGTTCCTATGAAAGTCCATATAGTCCAGCCCTCACTATTTCTTATCCTCAGGGTAAACTTAAGTTTTTATTCAAGCTCCAGTGTTCGAGCTTCTCTCTCAAATTAGTGCAAGTCCATGAAGAGGCAGAGCAGAGGGCTAAGAAATAAAGCTGAAACCTTGTAGAATGTAGACTGCATGTGATTTGGCATGCAAAACAACCTACAGCATTGCAGAGACAAGACTTTTAGCTAAAGCTAATGTAAAAAAAATCACCTGAAAGGTTAGATCTCTAAAACCTTTAAACATTTCTGAATTTATTATGATTGAGGCACTTTTTCCATCAACACTCTATTTTCTCAGGCTTACCTGCAAGGGGCATCAACCAGATCCTTCCGGGAGTATTCCCAAATTTTAATTGAGGGGCTAAGTCTGGCTTTTTGTACTTTTTCTCTTTAATGGATTGCACAATCAGTTACCAGCAGTTTTGAAAAACACATACAAGAATCAGTTTTGAAGCATCAGTTCACAGCACTACCAGATTAAAATGCATTGGACTGCAGTTTGAAAACTTACCTTTACATGCACCCAGCTGGTGGAAGATGATGCCTCTATCAGGCTTCAGCCCTCTCTTGTAAAGAGAGACCAGCTGGTCACTGATGGAATAGATTACTCACTTTTATCACTAGTCTGCTTGTGCTTGCATTCTGTGCGCATCTGAGAATGATTTAAACTGCTACTAATTAAAAATCAATACAATTGCCAAAATCAAGATTACTTTTCTCTCCTTTCTGATTGAGATTAAAGAAAACCTACATACCTATATTCTACAGCTAATATTGGGTGTGTGGATAACTTCTTGGAAAAGTACTACCTACAGTGTAAGAGCCTTGTTTTTTATAGAAGAGCTGGGGTTAATGAGTAATTCTGTATACATTAACAAGACAAGTTATTTTTTTCAGAAAGGGGACAAAACCAGAAAGAGAACTGTACTTAAAGCATTAAACTGTGCTGTGAACTGACTTCAAAAGAAAATGTCCATATCTGAGAACGAGTCTTAGATGTTTCTATTGAGACAAGTACTAAAAACTAATGGGACAACTTTTGTACCTAGGAACTTAAATACCAAATTTCACAATGGCTTTAACAGACCTAAAACTGAATTGACAAAGTGATGCACTCAGTTTCTGCTTGTATCTTGCATCTTCCTCTAGATTTCCTTAGCTAGACGATTTAAGATAGAGCAGTAAATGGTTGAGACCTGACTAAAATTATTAGATACATGTAACTTAACAGCAGCATGGCTGTAAAGTATGGAATGGCTGAGTATGAAAATGTCGAATTCCGGAAGGCAATGAATTTAAGTAAGAAACAGCCTGTTTTATTTTTTTTCTTTCTCATATTTTCATCTACCTACATTATGAAATAAAAGAAAAATTTTCTTCAAACAATACACACAGAGCTATGAAACAAAACTGGCACCCTTTGCCTTCACACAGATGTCTGATTTTTCATGAAACAACAGCAAAATATGCTTTTAAAATTCTTAAACCAGTAGTTTAATGGCTTTTTTTTTTTCTTGGTAGAAATATATACAGATACAGACATATTGTGACATTTAAATAGTTTAATCACAAGGAACTATATTTCTGTAGTTGAATCTTGGTAGTGGAAGAGATCTGGTATGATAAATGTGTACAAATATGTAATTACATGTACGCACATACTGTATAGCTTTGTTCATTTTAAGTGAACCTTTGAAGAACTGCAGATTGTCATGCATATTTTTTCAAGTCCAAGGTAAGAATCCAGCATTCTTTTCCAATATTTATAAGTTAATGTCATAGTAAAGTTTTGTTGAACACACAATATAGCAGAAAAGTATAGTTACTGGAATCTTAATGTAAATGACTGGTCACTACACTGTTATATCACCACAGTTGTGCTGTCTCCATGAATTGCTAGTCTCAACCATACCAACAAGAATACACCTTTATATACATACATTTTGTTTATATTTATATTAAATATGTACTTTATAGTTGACACATTTTAGTATCTCAGACATTCAAGGAAAAGAATATACGAGTACTATGCAAATCATGAAGCAAAATTCCTATTTATCAAAAAGTACCTAAAAGCTTTGGTTTTTGTCCTCTTTTGAGCTGGAAGGTTGGGAAGGGCAGGCTGCTGTAGTTTTTGTGCAGAGCCATGATCTGTTGCACATATACATATGTGCCATGTATGCATATAAATATACATGTGTAGATTCAAAATAGCTCTAGAAACCTTAATTATTGTTGAATTCCATACTTTTTTTTTGTTGTTGTTTCTGAAAACCTGGGAAGAAAAAAAAATACCTCATAGGAGAAATACTTTTATAGAAAAAATACTTTCACATTCAGCTGCAATAAATTATTACTGGTAGTCATAAGAGAAATTTGAGATAGGATTTAATCAGTAACAAATGATAGATGTTGGCAGAAATGCTGCAAACTGTCAGAATTCCTTAGTCTACATTCAAAAAAAAAAAAAAAAAAAGTGACCATGAAAAACAGTTCTGTGGAACATTTTGAAACACTTTCTTCATTTTTTGTTAGCTTCTGATGTTGTTATCTAAATGCAGAGACTGACAAAAAGAGCTCCTTTCCAGTGTCCTTCTGACTGGCTACTGCAGGTGGGATTGATAATCTCCTGGGAAGACTAAATGCATTGCAGTTTTCAACTAGAATTTTCTGGATTACTGCAATACAAACTAACTCCTGGATTTGAAAGTCTAATCCCAAATGTATTACTTTTATTAATTTTAACTACCGCCTCATTACTAAAGATTAAAAAAAAAAAAAAAAAAAAATCAACATTTTCTGTCTCTGTGTAACTGAAATTACTGCTCACCAGTCTAAGAATGCTGACATTAATTTTTTAATCCTGCTCGATGAAATTGTACTCTGCTTGTACTGCTTTATTTTTTTGACTGTTTTTTGTGTATATTTTCGTGAATTGGCTCCCAGTGATGAGTTCAAAATCATTTGTATTAATCATCTTTGTTTGAATGAAATATCAATGCCTTCTTTTCCTAGTGCAAGCTAATTGATTCTTAGTTTGCTGAATGTTGATCCTTATGTACAAACAGTAAATCCCTGTAGCATTCTGGGCTATTTTTGCTTTCGGTATTCTTTTTTCATATTCCTTTAAGACATAGTGATAGATAATTTTTAATGCTAACGAGTGCTAAAAATATTTTTAAAAATATGTTAACATAATACTTTCTTCAAAGTGGTCATAGCCATTTCATAACAACACTGGCCTATTGATGGTCATTAATAGCACCGGCCACTGATGGTTACTGGAAGCATGCCATTCCTGCATCATTCCGATTTGGATTTTCATCCCTTGCTCTTGCAGTCACATTTCTTCTCCTTTCCCGCCTGTGATTCAGTTTATTTGTTATGAAAATGTTTTCAACTTCAAAATGAAGTTAAAATGAACATACAGAAATATCTTGTTTAGTTTCAATTTCTCTGCTTCTTGCGGTCGTTCTTCCAAGGCACGCAGCCTGTCAGCTACGTTGTGATGTATTCCATCAGTCTTCAAGCAATTTCCATTATCTGTGGGTAATTATGACACCTGTACCACAAAACTCCTAAGCCCCCCATTGCCTCGTAACTCACAGGGTTTTTTTAAAATGTAACACATTGCTAAGACATTCTTACAATATGAAAAGGCTACTGGGTACAAAATTCTGGGGCTTCTCCACTTCAAAGCCCAGTTCTGTTTTCTGGAAGAGGTTGGTATAGTAGATGCTGGATCAGGCTTGCCAGCATTAGTCCCAGTTTTTCTTCTAAACCTCTGGGAAGATAACAGGCAAGACTGTGCATTTCTTTTACAGCCTAACACAGCAAGACTGAAAGAGGCAAAAAGGTGCGAAATGCAGTAGTCTTTAAGATACTGGCCACAACATAATCACTGAACAACTATATATACATCTATGAAGTAATTAGGCTCTCAGGGACACTCGAGTAAACTGCACTCATACCTTCTATGGAGTAGGTTAGTGTAAACTAACTGCAGATCTTTTTCCATCTCATTAGATGTAATAGAAGAATTATATGGTCTTGGCATATACACCATCATGCTATATATTGAAATGTGGAAAAATAATACAGCAGTGGCAAAAACAGAATCCAAATCCATACAGTGTTTAGTAGAATGCAGTACTTCCCTATTACTATGTCTTCTATGTGAACTTAAGCTTGTGGTTTTTAAATCGGCATCTCAGTTCCGTTTGGCTTGATTGCTTTCTCCATTAATCAGATTCTTCTCTTGTTGTTCAGCTAAGGATTGCCATTTCTGCCTATTTTTTCTACAGCCATCCAGTAAAGGGTAGCAGGCCTCTGATACATGTGTTAGGGCCTGAAATAAATTGTAAAACATGTAAAACAGTTTATATGTAACAACAAAACAAGTGTTCTTAAAAAGTGAATATTAAAGAGATGAAAATGACTGACATATGAGGTCTATCAATACTTGAAATTGAACTTATATTTTGATTTTAAGAAAGCTTTCTGTTGCACATCAGACGTGAATACATGGTCAATTAGACTGAACAGCAGTGTCCAGGTAATACACGATACATACATGCAAAAAAATATATATATATGAATTTGCAACATAGATTTATGCACAAGTGACCTATCCAGGATTTCTAGTGAGGTAGTATGCATGGACTTTGTAAGCCAGTTCTTTCTATATGTGGCAGCGCTGATCAAAAAGATGACCTTGGAAGGGTAATCAGCAGTTATAATCAATGTGACCCATTTCACAATGTCACAAGTGATTCAGAATTCTTCCAGAAATATTTGAATTCAAGACAACTAGCACCTGATAATTAAATTACATTTGACACTTATTGCCTCTTCAAGGACAGCTGTAACTGAAGTCTGTTTTTTCATGATGTGGCAGCGGTACTACAGCAGACTGAAATAAAACTGAATTGGAAATTAAACAACTCAATAAGCATCTTTGTACTTTTTTTTTTCCTGATGGAAGTGATGTATATGTATCCTCACACAATAATGACAGAAACTTGCATTAAGGATTCTGTTGACATTTGGAATGAAGTCACACTATTTAGAAGTGTGAAGTGGGAGTTTGATAGTTCAGACAGTGCTGGATAGCAAGATCCATGGGCAAGAGTGAGCCTACTGATTCTGGAACTACCATGACCAACTGCAAAGTACACAGAGAAAAGTCCTGGCCTCACTGCTGCTATTATATATATTTTAAAAGTCAGAATTTTACCTGGAACTTATGTCTTATTCAAATAACATGAGGTAGTGATATCTAACTCTTCTGTAACTTAGGAACAATTTTATATAGGTACTTTACTGAATTATCAGCTTGTATAAATCTTCATAATTCTTTTTTGCTTTCTAGGCAGCATCATTAGTTCTGATAGGCCTAACTGAATTATTCTTGATTTACACCTCTTTAGGAAGAGTGGGGCTGTCAAATATTGAGTATTCATGTTTTATTTATGTGAGCACATCTAAGTAGCATTAAAACTGCTAAATGTAACACTTTTTTCAATTAAAAATTGGAAGTAAAATACAATTATTTTTTTTCTTTCAGATTTCTGAACTTAAAGGGAGGATATTCAGATCACTCCGTTTAACTCCACTGGCTATCTCTCTAAAACAAGCCACACACCATCAGTTCAATGGGAACAGAACTATTCTGAATAACGTGGTAAGTCACATACATGTAGTGCTTCACTGGGCACTCATCTCTGCATTGTCTGTTAAGTTCCTACTGGCTGGATCAGTGCTAAGGAATAGTGAAAAAGCTGTAGTTACAACGCTGCTTATTATTTGCTGTTTAGCATTAGAACACTTAAGAGTGAAATGTGTGCTTGTTCTTCTTCAAAGTAACATAGTTTATATGTTTTACCATTGAAGAAAAGGACTCCGTGTAAGGGCCTGGTATCCCCTACCTGTACTAGACTTAGGTACATTGCATTAGGGCACACCATAGCGCCTTCCTTGTAATTATTAGTCACTAGTTTTGTCACTTTCTCATAGGCTCCCCGTTCTTTTCAATCCCTCTGCCCATGTACATCAGTCTTGCTCACTTTTCTTTCAGGTTAGGACATGTGTTGGCATATTCTGAGTCTATATAAAAGTGCCAGACACTACTAGCTTGCTATGTGCCATTACAGGTCAAGTCAGATTGAGACAGAGTGGAAAATAGGAGTGATACTCTGAGAGATGTAAGAGGCAACATATTCTGAACAGAAAGATGCTGCTTATAGCCCCTCCTACAGGGACAGCATCTTCTTTCTTCCCTGGATAAAGAGAAGGGAGAAGACTCAAAAAAAAATGTAGGTGCACTTGGCTGCTAGCCTGGAACTGGTTTGTCTTCACTGCAGCATAACTAAGCTGCAGTTACAAAACAGGAGCTAAATAGCTAGAAATTATTCACACACCTCATTTCTTTATGGGAACTGTAAAATGCTGGGTTCAATTTGGACTACTGTTACAGACATGTAAGTTTTTGAAAGTTTTCTGGTCTTTTCATAAATGAGAAGGTAGAGCTGTCCCAGCTAATACAGTACAGTAGTTCAGTCTCTGGAGCTGTGGACATTCAAACCTGTTTAGATTTTCTGTTCAAACAATTTTCTGTTTGTATACTCTATACGTTTTCCACAGCTACTCAGACTTCTTTCAGTGGCCTACCTTTTCAGCTTCTCAGCAAAGGCTGCCTTATTTTCCTGACAAAGTTTTTACAGTGCAGAGACATGCAAGTTTCAAGGGCAGCTAGTAGTTCCCTTCTTCCACTACCTTTGTTTTCTTCCAACTGGTGGATGTGGATTCTTTTTAGAAGGATGTGAGATGGAAAAGAATGATCGATTTGTTTCTCCCATTGGAATACTAGGCCAAGAGTGAGGCTGTCTGTACTTCACCTTTTTCTCACCTTAGTTCCCATAAAATACTTGTACAGCCTCAGTGAACAGGCTTTCACCCTGGTGCTTTACCGGTTTAAAAAAGTCAGGAATTATTATATTTTGTTTCATACTTTATCTGACCAAGTATTTCTGTATGCATTTTGTGACCAGAAAGAAAAAAGTTTCAATGAATGCTCCCATGCACTGCTTTTAAGTGCCACAAGAGAGAAAAGAAAAAGAGGGGAAGTTTTAAACCCACGTAAATTTCCAATATGTAGCTTTATCACCTTTTGCATTAAGAATTCTGAATGCCATAGAACTTTCTTAAACATCACTCTTCATAATGCAATATGTGGATACCATTCTTTAAGTAGATAGCAAAGCATTATGTGTCTGTGACTTTCCCTAATGATCACAGCATCTCACTGGCAGAATCTAAAACATAACCCAGGGACCTAATGCCCAGTGCACAGAACACAGCAATTACCACTGATTTTAAAAAATGGTATAACAAAATACATTGATCAGCCAAACATACAATTAATGCTAAAATAATCCTTTCTACAACTAAATGACAAACCATATAGAATATATGAAAAAAAAATCTTTTAAAATAGGATACTAAAACCAAATTTTGTTCTAATTTTAAATTAGAAATTTAAAAATACTGAAAACTACACTGAACAGTTCTGGTTTTAGATATTTCCAGTTCTTTTCAGGCACCATACCTCATACAGCTGCAAGCAAACAGCATCAATGAATCCAACCTGCATGCTTGGAATTTTGTTTTTCTTCTCTCTGTTCATTAGATCCTGCAAATAAATAAATAAGCTCAATGTTTAAATGCATTTAAAGTTGAAACAAAAACAAAGGGGTCAGAATTAAAAGGCAGCACCTCAGAAAGCACAGCAATCTCAACATAGCAGGGTATTGGTACATGTGTTATAACGCAGGTAATTTGTCTGCATGACTAGCAGACTTTAAAGGTTGTCTTTGGGCTTGATCGAATTAGGGGAATAGACAAGTTTACTTATTTAGCATAGGCTGCAATTATGCACCACTTTAGGAATACATTTCCTAGACAATTTAATAATACTGATTTAGAAGATATAATGCTGTCTTTTCTTCTGGCTCAAAACAGTGGCAGTGTTGGTGTCTGGTAACCCCAAAAGAAAACTGACTGCTAGGAAGACAGGGAAGGAGTTGGTTCTAGAATCTGATCACGGAAAGAAAAGCTGGCTTTTGAAAGGAATGTTTTAGATTCCATAAAGCTGTTTATGGAAGCCATTTTAAAAGAGATGATTCTGCATGATTATTCTACTCACTGTTGGTTCTATGTTGAGCTCCTTCCGCTCTTTATCTCCCTGATCAAAGAACTCAGTAGCTACAAGCTCAGCAATCTGTAAGAGATTTCAGACATTGAGAGCTATAAAAGTTTGCTTGCTACCTACAATCAAAACCATTTCCTAAAATTCCTGTGCCGCCTTAGGATATACCAGATTGGGATCAACATCCATAAGAATCTCCCATTTAAACTCCAGCTTTTAGATTCATTGACATATACATCTGTTCACAAAAGATACACCTGGATGTGCTGATATGTAGTCTGACAAAGCAAAGTGCCTTACCATTGATAACAGCTAGAACGATCAAAACATACAGAAAGGTCAGCTGATATAGACAGTGTGCTGCATCAACTGGCCACCTTGTAGTAACACAGAAATGCTGGGGAAAAAAAACAAACACGGAGCTTCCTGATTTACTTTCAGATAATTAATAACAGTCTGACATAGCTAAATGCATAGATCTTGCTGCAAAGACCTGAGAAAATCTTCAATCCACACTTAGCATTTTGAAGGACTGAGTTTGTATTTAAGAAATCTTAAAATTAAGGATATACCCGTTGCTGAACTGGCCATGGTTTGGTTATAGCTGATAAATCACAAGCAGTCATCAGCATTGCTCTATAGAAAATAAAAAAAAAAAAAGAAATCTATGAATTACTGTATTGTGAAATTTCTGTTGCCACCAAGCCAAGTGATTAGTAAATAGAATATCCAATTTCAATCACAATCAAAGGCAGAAAAACAAGTGAAATTAAACCAAAGTTATAGAGACATCCAAGATTTGATGATGTAGACTTCCACCTCTTTGAAAAGGGCGCACAGAAATGAACAAATTTGGACCAGCTCCTTTGTTGGATTCACATAAAATGAGTCACATCATTCTATTTGCTACTGGACAGATAGCACATTTATTTCTGGCAGTCAAAATGGCCAACGGTACCATGGGGTACATCAGGCACAGCACTGCCAGCTGGGTGAGGGAAGGGATTGTCCCACTCTACTCTGTGCAGCCTCACCAGCAAGCACTGTGTGTAGATTTGAGCGCCACAATGTAAGAATGAGCTGAAACTATTAGAGAACATACAAAGGAGGGCCATGAAGACAGGGAAGGGTCTGGAGGGGAAGGTGTGAACAACAGCTGAGGTCACAGTTTTTGTTCAGTGGAGACTGAGGGGTGGCCTCATGGCAGCCTGCAGTTTCTTATGAGGGCAGCAGAGAGGTAGGCACTGATCTCTCCTCTTTGTTGACAGTGACAGGACCAGAGGGAACAGCATGGAGGTCTCTCAGGGGAGGGTCAGGTTGAGTGTTAGTAAAAGGTTCTTCACCAGAGGGCAGTGAGCATGGAACAGGCTCCCCAGGACGGTGGACATGGCCCCAGTCTCTCAGAGTTCAAGAAGTGTTTGTACCTCACTCTCAGACATAGGTTATGATTTTTGGGTGGACCTGCATGGACCCAGGAGTTTGACTTGGTGATCCTTGTGGGTCCCTTCCAGCTTGGAATATTCTACAGTTCTATGATTCTGTCATTCCTTTCTGTCATTAACAAGGACTGCCATTTTCATTGACAATACAAAGGTCAGTAACTGAAATTGGAAAAGGTGATTAAATGCAGTATGACTAAATGAGACAGGTTTTTAAAAACACTGAATTTAAAGTAGGGCAACTGTCCTTTCTTAGACAGTCTAGATGAATGTTTTTCTGTAGCTTTTTATAAAGTTTTTTCAGTTCTTAAATATTCTTTGTTGGTTTTTTTTTGGTTTTTTTTCTCCACTGCCAGTAAGAAATCTGCTTCAAAACAAAACATCTGTCCTGAATCTTTAGTTAGTGGTTTCAGCAATTAAATATTTAAATATAACAGCAAAATAGCATTGTATTTAGGAGTTCTATGGAATAGAAACGCTTTTGTAACTACACATACTATTTAACACAGTTTGTTGTAAAGGCTGCAAATTTAGTAATTCAATCCCTAGAAGTGACTTATATCACCTGTACCAGTTTGTACAGGCCCCAGGCATGCAGATTGGTTGGTTTTAATGCAATTCCTGACAACGTGGCATGGGAAATTGGACATCTAATGTTAATCAACTTTTTAATCATTCTGCATTTACTTACAAAAATAGCTCCTTCTGCATAGGATCTTCCCAATTAAACTGCTTTTTCCTTAGAAGTTCAAAAAATTCTCCTCTCCTCCTTTAAAACAAGTGAAAGGATTTTACAATGTGCTTGCAGTCCATACAGCAAACTAGGACTACCAGTCAAACTTGTCTCTGACTCACTTTATGTATAGTGCTAGGTCTGTTGCAAGGATGGCTTGTTTTATCATTTTCAGTGTTGCCTTGTATTCTTCAATGGAAAGGCTGCTGAGAATCTGATTTCCCTTTACAAACAAACAAACAAAACAACAGCAACAACAAAAAACAGTGTTAGCAGTAAATTAGGCAACCCACCAATTTGCTAAAATCTCTTAGATGCTGAATCATTCTGAATTGCATACTGGTATGCACTGTCATCCTTTTGCCATGATTCTTTTTGTGGATTCTCCAGTTTAAAAATAAAAATTCCAATCTTCTTGAGTAATGGCATAAAGAAAGCTGTGCAGCAACGTCATCATAGTAGACTTTTACAAGATCAAACTACAGGCAGAGCAATAGCAAAATCTTCAGTCCCTTTCACAGATAAAAATTGAATTCACCATGACCTGTATTGGAGCATTTGTCCTTTAATTTCTTCTCTCACTTAAAAACGGTAGCAGATACCAGTACTTGCATATACACCTCACACTGAAATATTTTTCATTCACAAAGCTACATAAATAACAAGCTATTACATAGAAAGAAAAGATCAGCATCCCACTTTTAAACCAAAGCCCTCTGAAGCTGGTGAGATGGTAACTTGACTCCGTGCTTTTCCATATTTTCCTTTCTGAGCTGAAGAGAATCACTGCAATACAAAGTATGTCGGAAGTACCACACCTGTGATCCGAAATGAACACTGGAGGTATACTGCTTTGAAATGTTTGTGCAAGATGAATAACTGGTCTTAGAATTGGTTAATAATAGAAGAAAGTAGTTTACTTTGCATACTTATTTAGCTTAGTTTTGGCTTCACTTTGGAACATAAACGTTAGCAGTATTGGTTTGGTCTCATCAGGACTGCTTTGTGTGCGTATATGCTGGAATCTTTTTTGAAATGAAAGCAAGGACTTGGATTTGCTTGGTGGCTCATAAGAGGTCATGAAAATGGCAACAAAGCTTTTTTGTTTTCTTTGGTCAAAGAAAGCAGATACTCAGAAGGATGTTAGCAAGGCTTCCCTTATCAGGCAACACTTAGAAAGGTTTAGTGGTGCTCAGAAATGGAACTGTGATTTCAAAACTGCTGCAATTTGTTTTCCTTACCCAAAAAGGAATACAGATCACTTTAGGAATGTATAACAGTGGGAATCTATCCAAAAGCTAAAAATAAAAAGCAAAATAGAGAGAATGGTTCCCTTTCAGCATACACAACAATGAGGCACTTACTGGACTATTCAGGATCATCAGGCATTGATCAAAATGGTGGTGCTCCATGATGGAGTGGCAGTACAGTTGAGCCAGTGGATGTTCACTTCTGGGGACCAAAATGACCCATCAGATGGAAAAATCAAATTAAACATAATTCTCATCCAAAAATAATTTCCTTTATAATGTCCTTTTCTTCTTAACAGTTTGCCCCACCCACTAATGCTTGTTCTTAACCAGTTCCTTTCCCAGTTCTGTGCAACTCAGTGAATACATCTGAAAGTCTGCAGGGGGAGTACAGATAAAAGACAGCCCTGTTACTTTGTCAGAGCACTGACCGCTCTAGTTTTCTGCCTTCTATTACCAGCTTCACAGAAAGAGTGAGAATGTAATACGAGGTCTGGTAAAGAGTGAGTTATTCCATGAAAAGGAAAAGCAACAAGAAAGTTTTTGGTTTTTTTTTTCACAAACAGAATTTAAGTGACAGTTTTGTTTTGTGTTACATTTTGCGTACTTGCCTCATATATTTAATCAACTACATTGAGCTTGCAAGTAATAATGAGACCTAATCTAAAGCACAATGATATCACTGTGAAAGTTCCTGTTAACCTCAGTGAACTCTGGTGCAGGTCCCCAAATGTTGATTTCCTGTTGTGCTGGTGACCAAACTACTGCAGTATCATTACCTTCCCTTCACCCAGGATGGAATCCGAAAGGGAAACAAGATGTCAGTTGTTCTACAGGCAGTGGGAAATAAGCATAAAATCAAATGTGTAGAGATAAAATTTAAAGCTTACTCTAGAAAAAAAATGCTGTTTGAGTAGTTTTAGACAAAATAGATAAAATTCCTCCTCTGAGGATCTCTAGTTTCCCTCTCATCCTCATTGCGTAATAATGTTCTAAGCTTTTGCTACTGTATCTTTATTTTCAAGCCCATTATTTTCAAACATAAAACGATGTTCCCATGTCGTTTATCTTATCTCTTTAACTAAATCAGGGTACTCTGAATTCTGTTCTGCTACTGATCCTGAATCTATTACTATAGTTATGATTTGACCTACAAACATTCACTCAGTTGAGAAATTCTGACTTTCTGTATGGCTAAGGATCGTGCACGTTAATAAGTGGTTACAGCACTGGGTCCCTATGTAAAGTGAATGCACACAGAGACTTAAGTAAAAGCCATAAGAGGAGCCTCCGGGGATTTAAGAAGCACAGAAATGTCGAGAGAAAGATGGAAAGACAAACAAAAACACAGAAAGGGAGATTAGAGGATACAAGCCCTTGAGGTTTATGGGCTGGCTGCCCAGCACCTCCTCTGAGACCACTGCAAGGGGAACATACAGCAAATATGCTTGCATGCTTCTGTTAGAAAACAAGTTGTAGGACTGTGCCAATGCATGCTGAGTGAAATTCCCATTGAGTTAAATGGGATGCATACAATGCCCCTAAAGTTCATCCTGATCGAAGAGAGAAATATGTGAGAAAATTTTTAGGTTATCTTCCCAAACTAGAACTTGCTCAGTACTTACAGACTCTGATTGTCTGGGAAGATACAAGTGCTAGAAATAAACTCAGGTTCTTATTTCTGTAATATATAGTGTTTCTGTTAAACCACCACACTAGGACAAAGGACATCATTGCTTTCAGAACACAGAGGTTTGGTTATGCAGTTTTCATACTCTGTGCCTGTCTATTTTACATGCAGGTTTGGATTTAAAAAAAAAAAAAAAAAAAAAAAAGGAACAAAACCCTTGCATAAGTATGAAATATTTTTAAACAGTTCATTTCCTGTAATTCCTACTACCAGGACCAATTTAATTTTTGAAACACCATTGCTTAAATAAAAAGGAATCATATGCCAAGTGTCCACTTTCTCCACTTCCAAGAGATCAATTTCTAGAAAAATAATTTTTCATTTAATGTACATGAGGAATTTAAAAACAAAATTCACGTGATTGTCTTTATTGAAAAAGAATTATTAAGCTGTGATCATTTCTGCTTACAGCATGTATGAATGTTAAATTTTGCTGCCTATGACATTTTCCCAGGACATTGCTGAGAGGAGATGACGCTTCTCCAGATGTCTTCCAGGAAATTTATTTTTAAATAAATAAAGCAAAAAATAGCTGACCAGTTCTAATTGCTGCAAGGCTACAAGTTACTGTTGGATTCCCCTATTAGGGAACTAGAGAAAGATTAACATTCAATTTTGTGGCTTTTTTTTTTCCCTTTTGCTTTACACATCAGTCTTAGATTTATTCTGGACATGCATCCTAAAAGGAAAGTATTCTGCTTCAGCTTACTGCCTTTCAGTATTCTCTGCCTGGAACAAACTTTTCCTAACCTAGTATCATTTCAGCACAGCAAGAACAGCTGACCACTTCTTTCAAAGCTTCAAAAGTACTCTATAGCTCTACCAGAAAAAAGTACAAGTAAATGTTCCTCAGTATCTTTTCCCCTTCTCTGGTCAGATCAGGATACGTTGCCATATCACAGTAATAACATTACGCCATGTTTTAAGTCAAGCTATTTATTTAATCAAATAATGTTTACTGCTTGAACTTAATATTAAATTCACTGAAAAACACATTTTGTGCAGATCTGAAACTATTAATACGTTTAAAAATATATATTGTTAGTTAAAAAATGAAAATATAGAGAAATTTTCAGAAGAGTTCAGATGATTCATTTTGATAACTTCTGAGTGAAATATCTTTTTGGTAAAAATATTTTGTTTCAAAGTATTAAAATACATTTAGACTTTTCTTTATGAAGCTTTTCCTGTAATTTTCGAATTGATCAAAATCAGAGTACAGGTAATCCAAAATAATGCTAAACAGTCATGAATTTGTAATCTGATTTTAAATGTATGTCTTATCCAAATCTACTTAAGAGTTCTGGAAAACCATGACTAAGTCACGTATGAAACAATCAGAGTTCACAATGATGTGGAATCATCAAGATGGTTGAAGATCTCAGCTCTGTGCTGGCCAGACTAGATGGAGAACAGCTGGATGAGCAGTGAGCAATTTGCAAAACAGCACGTTTTTGGCATGTTGTCACTTAGAAGCTGAGATCTTTTGCTATCTCTGTGTGGGAAATGGGGGATAGGACATCTGAAAAAGAGCAGGAAGACGCTGCCCCTGCACAGTCTACAAAGAGTTCACTTCATCTGCCATTGTAGTTAGTTGGTTCTGTGAGGTTATGTGCAAGGTATTGCGTTTGGGTCAAGACAGTCCCAGATATGTGAACAGACTGGGAGAAGAACTCACTGAGAGCAGCCCAGTGCAGAAGGAGTTGAAATTCCAGTGGATGAAAAGCTGGACATGAGCCAGCAGTGCGGGCTTGCAGCCCGGAAGGCCAACAGCATCCCAGGCGGTGTTAAAAGACATGGAGCTGTTGGAGTGGGTCCAGAGGAGGGCCATGAAAATGATGAGAGGGCTTCAGCATCTCTCTTACAAAGAAAGGGAGCCAGACTTGTTCAGCTTGCAGAAAAGAAGGCTCCAGGGAGACCTCATTGTGCCCTTGAGGATAAGCAGGAGGAAGACTGACTTTTTACATGGGCAGAGAGAGATAGGACAAGGAGGAGGGTGGCTTTAAACTAAAAGAGGGGAGATACAGGTTAGATATTAGGAAGAAATTATATATGAAGAGGGTGGTGAGGCCCAAGGATAGGCTGCTCAAAAAAACTGTGTATGCCCCATCCCTGGAGATGTTTAAGGCCAAGTTGGATGGGGCCCTGAGTTGCCTGATCTGATGTTTGACAGCCTTGCCCATGACAGGGGGTTGGAACTAAGTGGACTCTGAGCTTCCAACCCAAGGCAATCTATGATTCTTATGAGTCATATCTTTGCTTTGGCCTCCTTAAATATCTCTGGCTTTTCCTGTGCTTAATGCTTAGCGAAGACCTTTTCTTTGCACAACATCACACTGTCAAATCAATTAAGTTGTACGTAATTTGGTTCTGTGTACTTGTGTATTCATTTTTAATTTAAGTTCTCTCTGTATACTTCCTTACCTTTGTATGTAAGAATTGTTCACTCCCCTGTGATCCAAATCATGGCTTAGAGTTGCTATCAGCAAAGCCAGTGTTTCCAAGTCAGTCAGTTTGCTCTATATGTAAAGAGTAATACAAGAAGTGAGTTAGCTTTGCGATTTCTTTGCACAATTTGTTTTATATCTGCTATCTTGTTTTTACCTATGTAGGTGATACAGCTTTATCTGTATCCAGAGAGGCCACAGACATTAAACTGTATAGTGAGAATAAGGGGTTATCTCTGAAGTCGTGGTCTTGGACAGTAATCATTCTCCATAGGTGTCAATGCAGTATTCAGAAAGAAATAAAATCCTCTATATTACTGATGAGGAAACTGGTGCAGCAGAAGACACAGTGACTTGTATTATATCATCTGATAGTGAAAAGGCAGCATCAGGACCCATAATGTCTAGTTCAACTTCTATATAAACTCAAGGGAGTTAGGTTGCATTCCCTAAATTGGTATAAAAGTACATATGTCCTTGGAATAATCAGAATGAAAAAATGACATGATCTTCACCAATCCACTGTACAAATACGTTAACAGAAGTCCAAAACCCATGTAAAACAAAATTAAGCAGTGTCTGATTCATTATTATGAACTTATTCTAGAGCTCCGGCAAAAATTAGTGGACAGGTTACTGTTTCTCTCTCATAGCTATTCCTCACCTTTAAGATTATTTAACACAAATTGATAAAATATTTCTTTAAACCTGACCAGTGATAAAGAGGGGCTGGACAAAGCTACAGCATTCTTGCAGCATATTTTTAATGGGATAGGCATAGCAAGCACAAAATCAGGACAGGAATTTGAAAAACAGCACTGTACAGATGCTGAGGGGCTGAATTCTGTGTATGGCTGAATCCAGATTTTCTTCAAGCAGATAAAGCATCAGTGGATTCCATCTGTTTTCTAGATAATGCGGCTGAAACTGAACACGTAACAACATGACAACAATTTAACAAACCAAGCATTTGAAGCCAGAAGTCTTCAGCAGGAAAACTTTGGTTTCATTTGTGATGCTGTTATGTTGAACGTCTTATTGACATGACAATCAGAACTATGTACCATTACAAAATTTATTCAGCCAGGTAGTTCTTAATGTAGTAACAGTAAAATGTACCTGAATTTTACCAGATTTTAAAGCAGCAAACATGCACTGTGCTGTATTAAAGGCATGTCTCCAATTGTGATAAGCAACATTTTTCCGATAATTTTTCTTCACGCTTAAAATCCATCTGCAGAGAACCTTTAAGAAACAGCATCATATAGTTAACTGCAAATATATTAAAAGTTTCTTTTTAGGAAAATGAATCCTTCTCAATTGAAAACTGTCATACAGAGCATTTTTCCTCTTACCTCAATTCAGTTCTAAAATAATATACTTGTATCTGTGAATATAGATAAGAAAATGCTTACAATCACTAGCTTCTCCTTGAGAATGTAATATTTGTGGTTTTATTTTATTTTTTATTTTATTCATATATATAATAATAATAATAAATAGATAATAGAATGAAGAATAATAAATAAATAATAGAATCACAGAATCACCAAGGTTAGAAAAGACCTACAAGATCATCCAGTCCAACTGTCTACCTATCACCAATAGTTCTCACTCAATCATGTCCGTCAACACAACATCTAAATATTCCTTGAATACCTTCAGAGATGGTGACTCCAGCACCTCCTTGGGCAGCCCATTCCAGTGCCTGACCACTCTTTTGGAATAGTGGTATTTCCAAACATCCAGCCTGTATTAGTATCTGCTGTGTTAGTTAGAAGCTGCTGTTAACTCAGAAACTGAATTATATTGAGCTAACTATTAGGAAAAAAATGCTTGCTTGTAACAACGTATTTCATGGAGACAATTCATTTTTTAATTACAGAGCTTTCTTGAGAAAGGTTTTGATAACAAACATGTTTTTTCACTTATATCAGCTTGTCAAAAGACAAGAAGAATTGGACTAAGGAAAGCAAGCATGATGGAAAGTGATTACTATATTGCTGGGTTGCTTTTTTTTAGGAAGGAAGAAAATATGTTCTGAATGTTTTACACAAATGTAATAAAAGTTGTGGGTTATACTTTTAAGAGAGCAAAAGGCTTGAATATGGTAATCACATGTGCACTAAAACAGATCACTTAGTTTAAATGCATACTGCAAACTGCCATCTGTTAAATGCAGGCTGAGGACTTCAACCTTAGTTTGTTCAAGATGATTTTTAGAGCTCCTACTGAAAGGTGACAGTAATGAAAATCCATTATCATTCATCCATATAAAGAATTCTGCACAAGAACAGCAGTATTTTCTGTTTTTCCACTCTTAAATAAGGAGTATTTTGCTACTGCTAGTTTTCTTTAGTTCTAGAATGGAAAGACAGTGCTGTAGCTTCAAAGCTGTTAATGCTCTCTTATTTCTATTGAGATGTGTACTTGTATCTATTGCCATGGTGCTATTTTGTTCTTGCAAATCTATGAGCTATGATATAATTACTCCCTGGGCCTTAAATGCCACTCCTGTGCAACTAAAAAACAATGTTTGCTTTTTTTGCTACTGTGGAACATAACTGACTTCTCACAGTTTCTGATAATATTAGCCTGGATATGTGTGTGTGTGTGTGTGTGTGTGTGTGTTAGTACTACCTATTCTCTTGTTTACTATCTCTAATTTATGCATCTGAGTACTTACATATTTAGTCTTGCTGCTTTTGAAATACTGCTATACTTTTCAAAACTCACTAGAATTTTAAGCACACTTCCAGTTCTCCAGGTTTTCTAAATGCATTTTCTAGTCCATCAACCAAGTTGTTAATTGTCCAGTTGAACCAAACTAGAAAGAAACCCCAATACTTTAAATACCTTCATAATTTGCTATCTGCTTTTACATACAGATTTTCAAATGCATTTGCTGTAGGTTCCTTTCACTATTCTTCTGATTTTTTAGTTATTAATTTGTCTCTTTATGTGAAGCAGCATCTGACAGCATTCATACCTCATGTTTCATTTGGAAATTCTGCACCAAGTTGAGGTCTGTGAACATTCGAATTGTACACAGTGTTGTTTCAAAATCTGATAGCTCAAAATCACTGAAGTTGAAGTCAGTCAGGTTGAGAGATTGTGCAGATGGTACTACAGCTGCCTAGAGAAGAATAAGAGAACAAAATTGAACTAGAAATGATAAAGCATAACATAAATGCTTTTTCAGCAGACAAATAGTGAGATCCTACATTTTACTTTCACATTATTTTTAAATCTGATTATTACTTCCTATTTATCTTTCCTTAGCTCTTCCACTTTAACACTGCCTCATTCATTTCTTTGATTTAAGGAACACTTTTCCACCAATCAAAAGAATAAGGAAAGTATTGCATGATCAGAAAATCTTACCTAAGTCACCCAAGAGAAACTATAACAAAAAGCCTGTATGACATTGAGAGATTGTGAAAATGAGGCAGTGGTGGAATCCACATTCAACCACTGTGGAAGTTAGAACATGTCCACAAGCAGAACTTTCTTAGGGGTAAAAGTCTGAAAAATTAGGGTTCACCTCTTTTCGGATCATCTTTAAAAATCTTTGAATAATGCTTTTAATGTATCTTGAGTACAATCATAGAACTTTGATTTGAAATTTGAAATTATGAAGTAGATGCAAAAAACTCAGTACATTTTAAAATCTGTAACTTTTATTATATCTTTCATCATATCTCTGTATATTACAGCTGGTTTTTTCCAGTTATAAAATTTAGAGTATAAGAATTGAATGCCCATCAAAGTATGGATGTTAAAGTTGTCAACAAAATAAGTGATAAGTCTTACGCTACACTATACATTAAAAATCACTTTCCCAGTATGAGGCTCCCATTTTTCTGGGCAATTGCAGAACAAGCTCAAAGTTAATATCCTGTTCTCCATAACTTGTTATGGAAGAAAAGGTAGCTTTTGGGAAGGTCTTTTCCACGTGCGTGCTTGTACTCTAAATTCCTTGTACTGTTCAGACAATACAAAATGGCTGATTCTATTCCTTTTCCAGGTTCCTGAGAAGGAAAGTTGGCTAGTACAGGGTCTGTTATTGATATCTGTTGTGACTTTGGGAAGATTTCAGGAGTGTTTTTTGTTTGAATCACTTTAATCTTCTGCAGATAACTATATATATCATCATGCATAAGCATGCTTAGGAGAGCTTTTCTATCTAGAATATAATTAGGAGAGTTTCTCATTGGTAAGCGGGAAGAATTACAACAGTTCTTAAAATCATAGAACATCCCGAATTGGAAAGGATTCTCAAGGAACATTGAGTCCAACTCCCGGGACCATGCAGGACTACCCAAAAATCAAACCATATTTCTAAGAGCATTATCCAAATGTTCCTTGAACTCCAGGAGGGCTGGGACCACGACTACTGCTCTAAGGAGCCTGTTCCAGTGCCCAGTCATCTTCTGGTGAAGAATCTTTTCCAACCTGCCCCTCCCTGATGCAGCTCCATGCTGTTTCTTTGGGTCCTGTTACTGTCAAAAGACAGCAGAGATCAGCACCTGTTCCTCTGTTCCATGTGAGCTGCAGCCACCATCAGGCCTGACCTCAGCCTCCTCTGCTCTGGGCTGAACAAACCAAGGGACCTCAGCTGCTTCTTGTATGTCTTGTCCTCTCTACTCTTTCCCATCTTCATTGCCCTTCTTTGGATGCTCTCTAATAGTTTCATGTCCTTATATTGTTGCTCTCAAAACTGCACCCAGTTCTCAAGATGAAGCTGCACTAGCACAGGGAAGAACAGGACAATCCTCAACCAGCCTAGAAGTGTTGAGCATGATGCATTCCTGGCCCTTTTGGCTGCCAGAGTACACTGCTGATTCACATTCAACTTGCCATCAACTAGAATCCCCATATCCGTTTCCGTGAGTCTGCTCTTCAGCCACATATTCATCAGCCTGTACTGGGTTGACTCATCCCAGCTGTAGAATCTGACACTTGCTCTTTTGAAATTTCATGTGGTTGAAATTTCAAGCCCTCCAATTTGTCAAGATCTCTCTGCAAGGCCTCCCTGCCCTCAAACGAGTCAATAGCTTCTCCCAATTCAGTGTTGTCCGGAAATGTACTTAATATATCTTCAAGTCCTGTGTCTGAGTCACAGATGAAAACACTGAAAAGTATTAGCCTTAAAATGGCTCCCTGTGGAAGCCCACTAGTGATGCCAGCTGCCATCCTCATATAACTCCATTTACTATAACCGTTTGAAGTCCAGCTCATCAGCTAATTATTCACTAATCACATTACATTTTTTTTTCTACCTGTATGCTGGACATTTTGTCCAGAACATACTGTAATAAACAGTATGGAATGTTTTGCTGAAAACCAAAGTGTATGGGAACTGCTGAGTCACGGCCTGAACCTCTGATTGATCACCTGAGGCGAGCCATGAGTCAGCCAGAGGAGCACAGCTGAAGGCAATTCACCTGTGCTGCAGGAAGGGGTGGAGCCAGGCTGCACCCTCCTAGACCTATTTAAGAGCTGCCTGCCAGTGGGGAAGGATCTTGTCTGGAGATCCCTCCTTCTGGTGTTTTGTGGGTGAGCCCAGCATAAGGGTAAGCCTTCCATTTATTCTCTTTTGTTATCATAATCTACTTTGCCTAATTCTCTTGTTTATTTTGTGATTGTAACATCTTCATATCCATTGATTATACACCAAAGTTGCATCAGCTAGCTTTTCTTGGTCAACTAGGTGAGCAACCTCGTTATAAAAGGAGGTAAAGTTTATTAAACAGAACTTTCCTATTGTGAATCTGCATTGGCTATGACTACTGACTGTGTTGTCTTTCAGGTATTTTTTCAATGACTTCCAGAATAATCTTCTCCGTAATTTTGCCAGGAACAGGAGTAATACTGATAGATCTGTAATAACCAGGGTCATCTTTGTTGCTCTTGAAAACTGGGACAATGTTTGCCAGCTTTGAATTTACTATGACCTCCCTGGATTCCCAGGACTATTGAAAAATAATTGAGAGAGGTCTTGTGATGACAGCAGCCAACTCTAAGCACCCTGGGATGAATTCCATTGTTTTACATATGCATCCAGCTGGAGCAACAAATCCCACACAAATTCAAGGTTGAATGGAAAATCCACTACAGGAAATAGAATGTCTGTAATATGTGTTTAACACACTTTTAGGGAGTGTTTCTCTTGACTGTTTTTCCAATTTAGAAAGATTAGAGAATATGTGTTTTCCCTCTTAGAATATTCTAAGTCTCAGGCAGTTTAAGTAGAGGTTCACTGGAAATAAAGGTCTGTTCTGTGAGATAGCAAGACTACAGAAATCTATGTTGTCTGCTGATGGGAAAAGGATAAAGATTTACTGAACAAAACCCTCTCCATGACCAAGCATGCTCCAAAGAAGAAAAAAAGACAGGTTCCATTCTCTGGTAATGAGGCCAAACACCACAAATTGACATGTTTACTCTAAGTAGTGTTTGGTGATTGGTTTGCACTGAGATCTTAAGATCTGCCTGAAGTCTTAAGATATCATTATTTTTAGTGCGTATTTTCTTTTTTCAACTAGCTATATGAAATAATTTTATTACTCTATAGTTTCATAGCATGAAAATTTAGGTATGTGATTTATGCGTTGGGATGTAAAGTGAGGATATTTGGTTTACTTAAGGGTGTAAAACTTGCTCAAATAATGCGATTAGACAGTAAGATAGAGAAATCCAAATCTATTGCACTCATCCTCTCAGGCTGTTGAAGAAAGCATGTGCTGTGTGCTCTGGTACTGCCTTAAGAAGAGGTGTTTGAAAAGCACAAAAATTTGTGGTAGGAGTCACACGAGCAGTTGAGCAGTAGAGATGAATGCTGTTTCAGTGCTGCATTTTGTGTGGTTGTTTTGTTTAGCAGTACAGTTGCAACCACAGGGACTGCAACACAAGCCCTTAAAAGAAACCACTGCAGATGCATAGCATACTATTCTTGCCAGTGCCTTTTTATCAGAAAGCAACAGTGTGGTAGAACTGAGGTTGAAACTGTGCGTGACACTAACCATTCCAAAATTATCCAATGTGGTACATGATCCTCAGTCTTGTGCCTTGTTCTGTGGCACCCTGCTTTGTCCAATCCAGTCCCATAATATGTGGTCGCCTTGCAGTCTCCTTTTTTTTTTTTTTTTTTTTTTTTTTTTTAACCTTCCTCTTCATCCCTCCACCACTTTCATTGTCTTCCTCACAGTAGAGGGGATGCAATTTGCCCAGAACATTGTGTTCCAATAGAAAGAACAGCAGAGACTAAGCACAAGATGTGCTTTGAACTATACTGGAAATCATGGCTGTAGTGACTCCTAAGGCAGTGGTTTGTAAACACAGAATTAAACATGAGTACAACAGGACACTGCACAGAAAAGTAAACATAAGAATAATTAAATGCTGAATTTCTGTCATAGGCCATAAACCTGCATCCATGCTTGGGAAGCTTGAAATATACCAAAGATATAGAATACACACAATTCATACTCAACTGCTAGAAGAAGAGTTCACAAGATTTTGGTTGTGTTTTTTTCTGCTTCCGCAATACTTAGTAATTATGAATTGACAGTATTATTGCATCAACTGCTGCTGTCAGTTAAACTCATAAGAGTGGCAGTCAGTATGTCAGTAACTTTATTTTTCTGGTGTTTGTTTGTTTCTGTAATTGCAACCCTCTGTACATTGTAATGTTAGGTTCATTGTAATTTTTACTTCTGAAAAGTGTGTGCTTCTGCGTGTGTAAGGATCACATCTGTGTAAAGGACCACCCTTCATTGTTATATCAATGGAATATTTCAAAGTAATAGGAAAAAATTCAATTACCGCTGTTACCTGCAGCTCCCTTGTTTCCTCCTCAGCAGCAGAAGCATGGTATGAGAGAACCTAAAGAGAAAAGGAGCCGTTAGTACAAACAAAAGAGCAGTGCGATAAAACAGAGAATTCAGCAAGCAGAGTTTTCATGGCATTACGTTGCTCTTGAGTTTACATTGCTCTTGCTGATGAAATGTAGTGTCTCTGCAGGGCTTTTAAGTTCTGAAAGCATGTAGGGAGTCCGCAACAGCACAGAATCTTCTTGATATAATTAGGCCAAGAAAATGTAAATAGTTTCTATAAATGAGCAAAGAACTCTGATTTTCTCTTTGGAAAGTTTTCATGCCCCACTTTCAAAGACAAATAATTCATGAAAGAGCTATAATTATGTGCCTGACATTGTTGCCATAATAATCCTTTCAGGAGTTTATTCAGACATAAAAGAAAATTTTTGCCTTAACTGAAATTTGGCAGAAAAGTCTGAAAGAAAATGTTTGTTTTAAATTAACAAAATAAGCTCATATTTTTCAGTTGTGAGAACTCAGAACATGAAAATGTTTCAGATTGTTTTACCAACTAAAGTATAAATTATTTTACAAAGAAATCAATCTAGGTATTAACTTATAATCTTTTTCCATTATGGAACTTGGAGGTATGGACTTCATATATTGTGAAGTGTTATGGTAGGAGAAAGAATTGCTAATTTCCCACGTAACCAAACAGCTTCTTTTTAAAGTAGTTACATTATTTTGACAATAATTTTACTACCTTTTTACTTAACGTGATTTTATACAGGTTTATTTGAGAGAGGTGATTTTTTTTCCTTTTTTTTAGAGCCTACAGGGTACATAATCCACAATTCAGAATCCTCCAAATACTCTATTTACATAAAGAGTGTTAGGAGATCCAAAGCCTGCAAATTTTTCACATTCAGTTTCAAGTTATCACCTCTGAGTAATTCAGCTTCTCTAACTAAAGCCCTCTTTAGCTATTAAACTTAACAGTAACCAATTCAATGGCTAAGACTTGATATGGTTTGATGGAGTTTAAGGAAATTGCTAAAAACCTACAATAATGCTGTTGTTGCTCCACAAACCAGTTTCTCTAAAGGACTGAGCCAAAATCATCACAGAAAACCTCAGACAAGAAAAGGAAGCCCCTAATCCCCTAAACCATTTCCTCTTCCTACGCAACAGAACAAGCTATGTTGCCAGTGGGTAGCCTTGTAAAGGAAAAGATGTGTTCAGTTCACTGCTAAATCTCATGAGTCAAGTTAAAATACAATACCAAATAAAATAGTCTGCTGGGAGACATGGAAACAAGCAGAAAAATTCCTGTGCAACTCTTCAGGCCAAATGCTCATGAAGGATTCTCATGAAGGAGAATAATTTCTGTTCATGTGAGTAGCTGCATTTATGTGTAGATCAAGGTTCAGGGAATACGAGAATCTGTTTTGTGCCAATTAAACATCACCTAGTTTTTGAGCTCACCTCTAATGTCACCATCTGTTTGGCCATTGCTCTTTCTACAGCTTCATACATCTGTGTATTCTGAATCCCCAAGCCACAAAAGATGACAAATGCTTCCAGAAACTGCTCATCATTTCTGTTGAAAGCCTTGATCTTGCCTGAGTTTTCTTCCATCTTATTCACAAGCTGGCAAACCCCTAAGTCAGGATAGAGAAATGTGAAGAAGTAAAAGATTGAATTGTCAAAATATCACCTAGAGAATGGAAATCAAGAAAACTACTAAGTCTATTACCATTTAGCCTACAGTACAAATTACCAATATACATAAAAGTAACACACAGAAATGCTACAGACTTTTTTTTTCCCCCATAAAGCTTATTAGATGGGTTTCCTTGTATTAAAGCATAAATCTTGAAGCATAATATATTACTTAGTAGGCCTAAAAAACACTTACTAGGATTTACAAAGCTAAAATGTAGGTGAAATTCTAGGATAGTTTTCATCCTGGCTATTATTATTAATAGAATTCTAGATTGATATAATCCCTAAAGACAATTTGTCCTTTGGAGGCTAATTAAATTTTTGTAAGCATGCCAAAAGAACATTTATGAAAGTCAGAACACTGGTACACAGAGTTTTTGCTTCCTTATTTGAGTCAGTACTGGAAATTTTTTAAAATAAATGAACTTAACAGATAATAACCAAGTTGAGGCTCAAAGTTCGCATATATTTGCTGACTGTATGAAGATGTGATTGAATTACAGCCTGCTTCAAAGATTACTGAAGTCATCAAAAAGCATCTTATAGAAATCAGATCGTTAGCTTCAAAATGATTGGTAGTTGCATCTGTTCATTTTCCATTTATTTCTGCTGATTAGTGCCAGATTTCTCTGTGCACTTGACATTGAGGGTCTGAGAGGTAACTTTTACCAAGCCTGCAGATTAAATTTTCAGTGCCATTTTAAGCAGGTGGGAATTTGCTTATACCTTAATTTAGCTTTACCAAGTGCATGGCAGTTTTTGCTAAGAAAGTAGAATATGGATTAAAGCAGCTGCTTTGTAAGCATACATTGTCCAAAACAGCTGTGAGCGTGCCTATTGTCTTAAGGAGGTCCATATGTTTCCTTGCTCACAAGAGTGTAAGTACTAGCAGTTTTAAGGATGAAAGCTAACGTTTTCCTACTCAGTTTGAATAAGTGTCCCAGTGAAAAACTTAGTTGCAAACCAAAAAATAATAATAAAAAAAAAAAAATAGTAATTGCAGAAGTCTTATTTTGATATAAAATGTAATTGCTTACCAGTCTGTATACTTTCACATATTTTATAAAGAAAATTTTGCAGATGATTGAATTGATTAAATCTATGCTTTACCAGCAAAAAGGAAGGTAACTATTTAGTTTGATGTTTCTAAAACACTGTAACCAACTTGCAGGTTGTCTTGCTCTAGCAGACCTACTTGTAATTTAAATAGGCTATGTGAACAGAATCTGAATGCTTTACACTTTGCCACCATAAGGGCACAGAAGATGGATTTGTTTTCTGCTTGTAGATATGGATGAAATTATAATGCTATTTTACAGCAGTCCCAATATTGAATATTGTCAGCAGCTGCTCTAAGATCTTAGCAGTGCTGCTGGGTTTTTTTGTTTGTTTGTTTTAATATGGAAGTATTTCTAGCATTGCAATACTCTAAATTTACAGACTAAGAAACCTCACTAAGGTTTTTAATTGCAAGAAACATACTGTCTGTGAGGGAGCAAATTTGCACATTTTACAGTAAACAGAAAAAAGGAGAAAAAGAATGTTATGCACACATTTAAACTATGTGTTTAGAAGAACAGTGGCCTTGCACATCGAAGTTTTAATGTCTAATGGCAATATATGAACACTGACCTATTTTCAAATCATGTTCTCTTCAGGGAACTGTTATTTTAGTATCAGAGTTTTCCTCTAAAGAGATAAGAATATTACACCTGTAGCTGTGAACCATTGGGCAGGCATTGTGGTATCTGAGTATTGCAAACAGTTTCTGACTTATTGGATTAGTAGATCCTTAGTTGGTAGTAAAAATATATAATCTTAGAGAATGAGGATTGACCTCATAATAACAAGATTATCTTTCCCTGGGAAAAAGAAGCAAACTTATAAAACTCAGGGAAAATCTCATGGAACTTACTTTCAGATCTCTGTTTAGTACTGTTTATGATTTTAGAATTACTTCCATAGCAACAGTGATGTAACAAACACAACTGAGTAAGCCATAAAAGCAAATGAATTCTTAGAAGACAAAGAATTTGGATAAACATAAATGCCTTAAAAAAAAAACCAAAAAACAAAAAACTACAGCAAGTAGTTACTCTTCAATATATTTCAGAAGATTCACTAAAGCATTCAGGCATCCATACATTAGAACTAAAGGAACTCAAAATTCTTTTATTGGGACATAGAAAACCAAAGAAAGATCCAATAAAGTTTTCACCACATACCTGAAAAGTGCAAAAGTGCAAAAGTTCACCTCTCTTCCAGTAAGATTTGCATGGTTTTGCTGTGGAGAGCTTTTCCCACCCTCACCCCACACCTGCACATTCCACACCCCCAAGTTCTGGTCATGGGTATACTAATCTTAAAAAAAGAGAAGACTTAAAATAATCTTATATCATGTATATATGCAAAAGGAACTTCTGGGTATTGTCTCTAGGAAAATTAAATCCTATTAAAGATCTGAACATTATCTGTGCTGTCCTTAAAGGACTTTGAAGATTTCCCATAGCTCAGACCTGAAAAACCCACCTAAAGGAGTACCCTGACTGTAACAGTGCTTGAACTTCCACAGGGGAAAAAAAAATGAAGATCTCCATATGACATGAGATGCAACTGTTTTATCAGCTGCTAACAGCATAGTGAAATGTCTCTAATAAAAGCTCAATATTCCAATTTTTATCTTGGTCTTCTAGAGCCTGATAGAATATATACAACAAAGTAATAAAAGAACTCACTGAAGAAGCTGATAAAGAAATTTCAGGGAACTCAATTCAGAGAAGACTGGGCTTCTCTTTCTGTTTCAGGAAATTAGATCTGTCTTCATGGAAAAGAGCTCTCATATTTAATATAGACATTCATTATGTAGTTCTGTCATAACTCTCAACAACAATTACTTGAAGGTGATTAAAAGTGCACTCTTGGAAAATTTTCTTGCCAAATTCTGTAACGTTGAGGAAGTTGAATTCATGGCACTATCCAGAAGTCAGTATATTTTATGTTCTGTTTCATTGTGGTTCTTACTGTTACCAGCGTAGCACACTGATGTGCATTCCAATTCCCATGGTACAAGGAAGTCCTGGTAATTTCCAAAAGCATCATTACACCCTTATTTGATGTAAATCTGAAGTTCACTGAAAGACTTAACAGACATATGCCCTGAAGTGCCGTTAGGATTAGATCCTCCAAACAATTCAGGTGTTTATCCATCTTTGAAGATCCACACCAGGGCTACCTAACTATTTTGAATCCATAAAAATGGTGAAGTATCACAAGATTGTTGTAGATACTTGGTAAGTATCTTGCTTACTTGTAAGGTAAGCAATTTACAGGCAGGTTTGCAATGGACTTGTTGGCTGGAAGCATCATAATTAAGAACTTTGCCCTGCATTTGTTGCTGAGATTGTACTGTGTAACACAGAAATATTTCCATGAAGTATACAAAAATATTTTTTGTGAAAGTATTTTTTGTAAAGATACCTACCTATCACCTTATTCTTTTTCCCATTTTTTATTGGCGTACACAGCAAACTCTTTATATGTTGACTTACACTTTCTGCACTGTCAGTCTGTTAAACAAACAAAACAAAACAGTTAAAATTTTAAAGGCCAGTGTTTAAGTACCTGAAGTGAAAATGCAGAGCTAGAGTTTGCATTATTGGCTTACACATGTTCCTTCAGAAAGCAACCATGTCTTTGAAGAGTTTGCACATCTTTGGCTGGATGGTGTAATAAACACTACATCTGTTACAAGCTTTGGTGAAAAATAATATAAGTAACAATGATAATCACCATTCAAACTTTCCAGGGACTTGCAACATCATGCTAAAAATGCGTTAATTTTATAATAGGTTCTTTCACTTCACTTTCATGACAACAATTTTGCACCAAGACGAAGTGTGTCTTTCACTCAGTGCAGCTGAAAAGAGACCAGCTGGGCTTTAGGACAACTTCCTACTCTTATCATTTAAAGAGCTGTGAAATTATGTGATCTCTTCCATTTCTAGCATCTCCCCTGTACTTGCAGTAGGGCCATACAAGTTATAAAAGAAGAGTTCATGACATTAAGCTGATTGTGTACTTTGTGACGCTAAACTTTGTGTAAACCCTTTTGGTTTGTTTGAAATGACTTAATTAACCCACCAATGCAATGAAAGGTGCCTTGGTGAAGACCAAATTATGATCCAAAGAATGCCCAGTTTTCCAAGTAGGTCAACATTCTGCAGTCTTCCAAAGGCCTTTTATCATTGCTAGGTTGGGTATATTTTGCTATCAGTTTGTTTCATGCTCCAAGGACACTGAATTTATTTACTTATTTATGAGGTAAAAGTGTGGATGGGTAGAACAAAATGACAAGGCATCTTTTCCAAATTTCTGGTGAGAAAGTGACCTAGTTTTGTTCTGTAGCTCTTAGTTCTAGAATAATGTGGCAGTTGCCGAGAAGTAAATTAGGGTCAATCTCTAATTGTATGTGGCACAAAAGATGTGCACACACCAATATTTCAGATCAAAGGGTTTGGATGAATTATTTGTTTGGTTTTACTACTGTTGCTTTGCTATTTGGTGCTCTGCAAGAGATTGAAAGTTTCCTTTGCAAGCGAATGCACAAAAGCTATATTGCCTGTAACTGGCAATAGGAAGTATGAGTATCTGAAGAAAACATTAAGGATTATGTCATGATGGATAATTTACATGACTATGGGAATTCAGTATTTGGTAGCTCATTATCATAGGATAGATGGAATTACTCAAGACTATGATTTACTGGTTTCTGTACTCTGGTCTAAAAAGATGTACATGTGTAATCAGCTGTAAAAGGATAAGAGCCAGCATCTCTCCCTAGACCTCTTCAGCAGAGGCAACTGAGAAACATTAAATCAAGTTGGCATGAAAATTGGTTTAAGGCTACCCTAATAAGAACCTGCTGTTTTACGGTAAAGTTCAAATGCACTGAAACTCAAACTTGTGTGGAGTGAGATAAAAACAGAGTTCACAGTGCTTAAAAAAAAATACTTGACTCAGTATTAATGAAAAGGAAGGAGACTAAACAAGAACAGGCATAAATGGCTTCCAGAGTGTTGTAGTTATTTGAACTTTAACTCCACTACTCTAGCTTTGTTGGTTCAGGGGAAAACAAAGATGCATGGCTGCTGGTTTACTTACTGTCCTTGTATGTACTGAACCCGAGGCAGGGAATATTAGGGCTCTCCTGTGAAGGAACCTATACTGGTTCTCTGCCTCATGTCACTACGTTGGCAGCCAATTCATTTAGAAAGCACAAAGTCCTTTTTATAAAGTGAGGAAGTGAACTTTCCAAAGAAAGAGGCAAGTCAGCATTTTTAGTTTACTAGGTACACCTGGGATTTTCCTCATGCCATGGTTTGTCAGCTTTAAAAAGATTTTGCCTACAGTTCAGCCTTAAGGTTTCTCTTATGTTGCGTAGCGATGCAGCCACTGTGGCTGTGTTAAAAACATTATTTTCTTTATGTTTCTTTCACATGCATAATGTGTAGATCAACTAGATTCCAGGGAAAATGTGTAAGAACTTAACTTCTCTGACAAATAGAAAGTTTTGTTTCAGACAGTCATTCGGTATTCCTTTTATATATTTTAAAATGTCTTCAAAATAGTTGCTTATGTTTTAATGATCTCATGTAGTATATCCATGTGATTCTTCTTTTTCTTCCACTCCTGCAGTAAGATAACTTTGGGCCCTGTGCTATGGTGAGCACTCTTTTTTTTTTTTTTTTTTTTTTTTGCTCTGTCCTTCATAAAATCCCACTCCAGAACATCAGTGAAACCTTGCACAGAGAAAAAGGGAAGCAACATAGCTCCCCACCATGATGCTGCTCCTCCTATCCACTTACTGGTACAATCATAATCAACGTTGTACTTTCTGAACTCTTGGTTGTGTGATTCAGAACAAAGTGCTTGGTAAAAACCTGCTCATCACCATAACACTTCTCCTCTTACTCTCTCCCTGAGCTTATGTGCCTATCTATTGTAAGAAGAGTTTTTTTCAAGATTCTGCATTGAGAGGAAAACACAGAATTACAATTTTGTATTGTATTGACAACAGCTTTCAGCGCAGCCATGACTGTAATCTGAGTCTTGCCAACTGGCCTTCCCTACTGGCACTGGCAGTATGCATTCTGTAGTACATTATGGCATGAGCATATATCTGATGAAGTGTAAAGCAAAAGCTTCCAGAAAAAAAAAAGAAGTTGTTGCTTATCCAAAACAGCAAAGAACTTGCATGCATATCGTTAATCCTTGCCAAGTAGGGAAGGGAGAGAGTAAAAGGGAAGGAACTTCTGAAAGCCTCCCAACAATCACAAGAAGCTACAGAGGATTACTATGAAAATCTCCAACTGTTCTTCACTTAAATGCTTTCCAGAGAATGTATTGCAAGCTCTCCACATCATGATGTCTGTTTATTCACAAATGAATGCCGGAGCTTTTTAAATAATGGTTGTACAGATACACTGCCCACTTTGTGAGTATTGTACTATTTCTGCACTGATGGTGAATTTTATAAAACAAAGGTAGTAAATCTCTTTGTTTGCAGCATTTTGTGACCATTAAATTAGAAGGAAAAAAAAAAAAACCAAACAAATCAATCAAACAAAAACAGACAAAAAAAAAAAAAAAAAAACCCTAAGGGAAAAGCAAGAAAGATTTGAAAGGTGAACAGAAAAGAAAAATTCATTTCTGAATTACAAATCTAACGTTATTTTACTTACTGTCCAGGGAAATCTTCTGTCTTTACAGACATCTGGGATGTTGAGAGGCTCCATTGTATTCTTCACATACTGAGCATACATATAATTGATTTTGTTTGTATCATAGTCCCTGAAAGATGCAATATTATTTTTATATGCTTAGTATGATATCAAATCATTTCATTATGCAAAGCAGGTAATTGTGAATATCCTTCACGTATAGGGCCAAGAAAGATATAACCAACAGCATTATAGTGGTACTGAGTTCCAATCCTGTACACTAATCCATCTGTCATTGCAAAATGACTGGGAGAATTAATTTATACACTGCACCATTTCTTCAATATTCCAAAATTTTATCACCAAACATCAAACTTAAGAAATAATACAGGACATGCAGATAAAGGACAAAGAATGAGCAACTGGGTTTACACTGAAATAAACAACTCTGAAAACAAACTATTTGCAAATCTGGCACACCTGAAAAATCAATACTGTATGAGACATGCATATTCTTTAGACTGAGTGCAGTTGGTAATACTTGTGAAGTTTCTACGTCAAAGTTTATTTCAAATTTTTCTAACAGAACAATCGGTATGGGGATTCTGCTATTGCCATATAGATGTTTTTTTCTAAATTGGGTCATAAAATACCTTCACAAGATCAATCATCTCCTGCTTTTGTAGACATTAAGTTTTTAATTAGAGGTGTTCAATCAGAACACATTGTCAGCATTAGAGGAGAGCATATACATCCTAGTAATGCGCATATTATCATCAAGCTCCTGTAGTTTACTCTGACATTTGACTTGACATTAGTTATCCTTCTGGTGCAAGTGCACTTGCAAAAGATGTTCGCAGTGCTAAAGGGAGAAAATTACTTTTTCATTATTTCACCAACTTGATTATATAAGGCTGTATCCCACAGTTCTGAATATTAGTCTGATTTGGGCTTGATTCGGGGTCCTTGATTATGTAATAAGTCTGAAATTATATCTTGTAAAGTAACACTTCCCATCTAATCCACGTAATTAGATTTCTTCTGTTGCCTGATAATGTGACCCTAAAACAAAGCTCCAGTTCTAACTCCAGTGGCTGACTCAGTCCATGACATGTAACTGTGCTGTTTCATGAACAAAATTCAGATATGCAGCTAAGGTTCTAGCATTCCCTCCTTATCAATCATGAGAAAAAAATTAGTGACGGTCCATGCAAGCAGTAAATTAAATTCTAGTACATCAACTAGGACCCATAAAAAAGATAATACAGAGGAAGGTGAATTCTGTCTCTTTACATAACAGTTATCCTGTGATCTTAGGACCATTTTGTACCTATGTATTTTATGACTGTACATTGTCTAAAATCCCAACACAGTTCGAGGGTTATTTGCTTTAGCCACACACTTTGGAGTTCATTTTCAAATGCATATTATTAAAATTCATATCAGAAATGTTCACTAAAAAAAGATCAAAGGTATGGAAATTTTGATTTTCTCTCTGGACGTGACATCTGTAGTACTGTATTTTTGATAGGACTGTGTTTCATTCTTCTGACACTATTGGTATCAACTGCCTCTGATGACAGACAGGTTATGGAGGCAGTTAATTTTCAAAACTGAAATACAGAGAGATTCAGATTAAATTTTGCCAACTATGTAATCTGAATATTTGAATTCAATTATTTTTACATCCTTCTCTTCCTCCGAGCTTAAATCCCTAGTCATTTCTTGAAGATGACTGAAAGAACTTTACAATTTTTCTTTTGATTTTGTCAGTCGTATTCCTTGAGTTGTAGAAATGAACTTGAAAAAGTGAAGAGGCCAGGCCTTGTTCTCCTAGGCTTCTCGATTTGACAACTTGTCTATGTATGTTTCAGGATAAATCTGCTCCACAAACAGATAGCAGAAATATGTGGTAGCCAGTGGGATGAAATGGTACACCGGTTCTTTATTATGAAAAATAACATTAAAAACATAATTTCTTCAACATTTTCCGGTGGCTAACAAAAGCTTAATTTCATTGCTTTACCTCTTCTGATTTTCTGCTGAATCTTCTAATTCCTCAGCTTCCATATGAAACACACTCGAAAATGAATCCTGAAAAAACAAGAGGATATTATAATTTATAGATGTGGATGTAATAACTTAGAGTAGTAGTAGAGTAATAACTAGAGTAGTATTCATGTGGAAAGCATTCATGTGCTATTATCAACATCTGCTCTGTAATAAATGTAGATATAAAACTGTTAAACTTCATTTCATATCAAGCAGCAACAGTATAGAATCCTATGACAAAAATACATAGTTTTTAATATCACTGAAGTATCTTGAATCTCTACTGACCACTCTGAGAAGAAATGCCAGTATATAAGCTGTACCATCTATCTCTGAAAGTTCCAAATTTGAACATTCATCCAAGCGAATGCACCAAGAGTGCATAATATCTGCTTTGCTTGTGGAGATGAGGACATCAATGCCTTCTAAGCATTTCAACAAATCTGTATTGCTTTTCATGTAGTTTTTTTCCCTACAATTGAGAATCCTAATTGCAGGGAGAAATTAGATTGTCCCTGCACTAAAGATTCAAACTACAGACTGGAAAGTAAGTGCTGGAGTTTGGTTGACTTGCAGAGACAGCATGACTATGTGAATACATGCATTATGTAAATTCTTCTTCTGTACTGTTTTATTCAGGAGTGAATCTCTTAAACATACTGAGAGAGATTATTATTACAAAATAAAATCCTTCTCCTTTTCTGCAGCCTATGGGTTGTTCATACCTCCTCTAGGGAATAAGCTCTTCTGCCTTTAAATAAATAAATCCTACTCACAGTGCAATCTTCGTCCACTATGAAAATGGTACACCTCTGCACCTGCATGAAGGATATTATAGTGGCAGCTATCTTCTTCAGAATGACTTCCAAAGACTGCTGTTCTTCAAAAATAAGGCTGGCAAGATCAAGAAGCACCTGGAAAACAGGTCTTTGTGAAAATTTGACTAGCTGTGATGAAAACAATAATTACAGTTACTACTCAGTATGATTCTTCCCCCTACTCCCTGAACCAAGGAAGTCAACACGTACATCTGTGACAAAGATTAAGCTTTGGCTCTTACACAGACCGCAAGGCAGCAGTAATTAAAAGCCAGTTTGACATGTTTGATGGAAGAAATTGATAGCATACTTAGCTGTCTGATGTTTTCAGTTGGAGAGACAGAGTAGATTTGGGCATTAACAGTTGATCAAATGAAATTTGAGAAGTCCAGACCAAAAACTCTAATTTGCCCTTAGGAAACCTAATAAATTCCTATGGCTCATGTGTGCATTATAAGAACGTCAACAGTGATATTTAAATTACTTTAGACTTTCAAACACAATTATTCGTGGTAATTCAAAGAAATCCTAATGAACTCATTTGGTAAAAACATCATTTAGACACAGGCTGTCATATTTCAAAGCTGTTGCTGAAGGACTTCTGCTCAGATGTCGGCAAATTATACTCCCTTTATCCCCACAGGAAGCATGGAACCAATTTGAAAAGATTATCCAAATTTGTACCAATTTACGAACGCTGATATTCACTTGGAAACCCAGACCTACCAGAAAGTTATTAAAAGACCTGCTGCCTAGTTGTTTCTCCAAAACCTTTTCATACCATATTGGGTAGACATACTCCACCCGTAGAGACCATGGCATTAATAAACCATCAATTACATAGATGGCTACAGAGTAAAAAGAAAATTCTATTTCCTGTCTGATCATTATGGAAAATATTGTTAGTGACTATTTATAGTTGTAGGAGTCTAAAAGAGCAATCCGTATAATCTCTACAATTTTGTATGGACAATTTTAGCTGAAATTTCTGGAGTATGGAAGAATCTGGTTGTGTAATATACACAGTGAGCCACAGGAGAACTTCAGGCAACATTTAGAATATTTACGTAATATTATGCATAGTATTCAATTAGAGAAATTAAAAATTGCCAAGGAACGGCTGCCACATGAGAAGGAAACAGCAGAATGCACTGATTTCTAGCTAACTGTAATTTTTATATTTTTGGGACAAACCTGTTGATCATACCTGATTACGCCTGTTTTCAAGCAAAGATGTTTCATACAACTGAGCATTGTGAAGAACAATTCCACAAAATGCCAAATATGCAGCAAAATCCTGTAGAGAAATAAACATAAGCTTCTGATGAAGATAGTGTCTCTCAGCTTCTTAGCTTTATTCAAAGTTCAACTGTTACATTTTTTCATCTTGAAGTATTAATTGATATTTAAAGATATTTCTGGCAATTCAGGTTTTTTTCAGCCACTCATACTTTTTTGTCCTCAAGAATCTCTTCCTTTTTTAAAAGAATAGTCTTGCAAGTTTATCCTGGTGAAAGTAGGACCAGAATAAGAATCAACTCGTTTTGCAATAACACAGATATTACCTAGAAAAACAGTACAGACAATCAGCATCTGTTATTATGGGGAATTCAGTCTCTTCTGAAGTGGAACAATATTCTGTTAACGTAGCAAAACCACAAATTTTTTTTCAGTTTCTGAATGTGATTAATTCTGATATCTTGCAGATACTCTGTATAAATTTTGCTTTAAATGGGAAAGTTTTCAAAAGGAAACAGTAAATTCTGATTTTTTTATTGACAGATATTGAATCATCTTCTTCAGGTTTTTTTTGCTATACAAATTTAAAGTGAGTTCCAGAAATGTCTGGAAAACAACTACCGTGTGAGAACTGGGAATCAAGTTGCCATATATTTATAATTTATCCGAGGCTTTTCTCTTCCTGCAATTGCTGTATTGGGAAGTGATGCAGTATTTAAAAAGTAATCACTAGACAAATTTTAATATCCAAAATACATATTGTTGGGAATGCCAGGAAAGTTAATATCAGTTCATAAAAGATTATGTCTGTTATAAGCTGTGAAGCTGTCCTACAGTGTATTTCAGTAGAGTAAGCCTGTGTTTCAGAGGCATATGAGAGGTATCTTTCTGATCAAGAAATTAAACTACATCCCATCTACTTTTCTCATGACTTTACAAGCAAAAAAACTCTGCAATATAACAAGGAATTTTCTCGTTAGAGGTGTTTCATTTTTCATAACTTTAAAATGTCTGATCAGTGTGAAAAGCAGTAACATTTTCAACCCCTGCTCTCCTATGAAAACAGAGACATAAATGTCCAGCTTCTGTACCTTTTCATCTTGTTCCGTGAAAGTCCCACCCGTTCCAGATTTCTTATTAATTGCTTGAGCCACGCCAACAACCTAGTGTATTAAAAATGAAATAATTAGATCATTTTTGAGAAGTCTGTCGTTGGACTGTGGTATTCCTAGACATACATGAAAATAAATGATTACTACATGTATTCCTTTGGTTGACTTTTGCATTTAAACCTGTTTATTTCTAATTTATTTGTATTACAAATTTTTGAGCATGAGCCTGACTTAACAGAAAGAAAAACAGTGGCAAAATTCCTGGATGCTCCTATAAAGAATGTTTGGTTTGATCCAAGACTTGTTCTGTAAAGTGAAGCAATCATCTCACACAAGGGCAGCAGTGGTTTATACTTCTGAAACTGTCATCTACTTTTGTGTGTAGAACCTACCCTTCCTGCTAGCTCTGATGAAGTTTCCAAAACCTTCCCCTTCTTACTGTAGGCTTCTTACAAGATCTCTCTACTGTGATCTTTTTGCTTTCTGTTTATTTCTGGAACTGTTCAGTTAGAATTGAAAAACAGTATGCACATGTTGGGTACCTGCCAGAATCAAGTTTGTTACTGTAAGTATTTACTTAAAGATAGGTTTTGAAAAAAATTGCTTTGAGATTGAAGTCATACAAGACCATTTCAAGTTGTTAATGACAGTAGTTTTTTCATCTTACTTTTTTAGGATAAACAATATCAGGAGAAAATGTTGTGTGTGTTTAAGAAGCTGTATTTATGTGTTACTCATGACATTTATAACTGCTAAACTGAAGGAGGTCATACAGTTATATTTCTGTAATGGAAAAGACAACAGTTTACTGTCTCTCACAGCAGCATTCCCAAAATACTGATGCTACAAGTAAGGTCATTGTTCTGCAGCATGAGCCACTGCCAACTGTGGGCTCAAAAATGTCTGTCTGAAATAAAGCTCAGCTGTCATGTCCATTCCATACAATGCAAGACTTCCCACAGTCAACTTCTCATTTACTTCAGTGATGATTTCTTATCTAGAGAGCATTCTCACTGTAATAACAATATACTTGCCGTATTTATTTCTACAGCCAGCTTTGAATTGTAAGCAAATCCTTTAATAAATCTGTATGCTTTTACATTTACTTGCATGTGGAAAGACTAATGCTTAAGCCATTTCTCCAACTGCTATCTTTTCTGGGTTTCTCATTTTTTTCTTTTTCTTTTTCCAGCTTTGATCCAGCATGAAGGAAGACAATTTTAATGAGTTAAGAGGCTCTTAAAGGTGAGTAATTTTGTCTTGTGTAAACATCTCCCTCACAATGAAAGGAAAGCTGGGCGTGTTTAGAACTAAAAGGAAACAGTGACAGGACCATATTAGTACCACAGAAAGACTACTTAGCCTCCCTTCATTAGCCTGCAGGTTTCTCATAAATTAAAAAAAGCATGTGTTCCAATGGAAATGGTCATTTTGTGTCTTTGTTAAGTCCATCCAATAAAAGCTTTTAATAGAAGGGGGAAAGAACACTGAGGAGAGTAAACCTATTAAAAGTTCATACTTGTCTTGATAATAACAATTTCATGCAAAAGACAAACGGTATAAAGTACTTTTTTTTTAGTAAAAAATATTGACAAAAAAGAGTACATTTTCCAGTAACATTCTAAACTTTTAAAGAGAACCTTGTTTTATGAGCAATTTTTGCATATAAAATGACACATTATAAAATTAAACTGACTCAAATTCTGGCCTGAATTGTATTTATACCAGTACAAATTTAAGTGGACTTCACTGAGATGTGTATTATTCAGGTTAGTTATTCAGAAAAATTTCTTCTTAGAAAAAGCGGCGAGGCATTGGAACAAGCTGCACAGGGAGGTGGTGGAATCATGGTCCCTGGCGGTGCTCAAGAAATGTGGAGGTGTTGCACTGAGTGATGTGATATAGTGCTATGGTGGTGATAGGTTGATAGCTGGACTACATGATCACAGTGGTCTTTCCAATCTTAATGATTGGGGTATGAGATAGGGTAATGAGGAGATGTAAAAAACCCAGGGAGATTTGTTCCTTTTACTGAAATGATTACGTAATTAGGACAAAAGTAATAGCATTTTAGGCTGTGTCAAACATAGGCCTGCATTTTAAAGAATTCTAAGCACAGTATGAAAACCAAATCTTCATTTTTCAAACTTAATATAAATAAATCTGAAACAACATAGGTCTGGTCTCTCCAGATGGGTGTTATGTTGAATATATGTTGAATAAAAGGTTGACAGTAGCTACTATGAGCTAAGCTGTACAGAAATGTTACTCAGATAAAAGTGTGATATATTTGTGGCAATAAACAAGACATATCTGTATATATGAGATAAAGATAATTCTCTGGAAAGCCTGAAGAACACTGTAAAAAAAGTGACAGCCCACTTGAACATTCACTGATGTATGTACTGTTCCAGTCTAACAAAAATATGTTTTTTTTTTTAAATCACCTACTGTTTCATCTTTCTTCCTTAACAAGCAAACACTAAATGAACCTTCTTAAAAGCTGCAGCACTAAATCAAAGATAGTTACTTTTTGTCACTGTCTTGCTATGCCTACAGAATTATCCTGCATATCTGTTGTTCAACCAAGGAAAAATTAGTAGGAAACAGAGGCTTAAACAGCCATGAAAGGGGATGACTACTAGAAAATCATTAGGAAGTGCTGTGGAAAAAAGAAAGCCAAGAATAAGGGAGAGTAAACATTAAAGTAATTACTATTTGCTTGTACTCAGATATCTGTAATCTTGTGCCCTAATCCCTAAAGTAACTAGTGATCTGTTGAGTGCTAAAAATGCTTTTTTATGAGCTTTTAGGTAGGGTGTTACACCATAGCAGTCATGGAACTCCTAGCAAGACCCTCTATCCAGGTTTGCTGTATTTGAAGCGCAAAAGGGGTGGGCAGAAAATAATAAGCTGTACACAAAGGAGCTTACTCCTTTGTCCAGCCTTCTTTCAATAGATCAATAAATCAATAGAAAAAAAAAGTCCTCTTGGATCAGATACCAAATACTTTGTAATTTGATATTCAGATGCCATAAGGCAAACATATATTGCGAACACAAAAGCAATTTTGATGATGGAATAGTTCTCTTATTGTAGTCTCAGAAAAGGAAATAAAAAACAAACACCTAACAGTTACTAGGTTGATAGCCATACCTGTTTTTCCAGATCAGAACACAGCTCTCCTAATTGTATTCTTGCTGGCAACACGAGCAATCTTCCAGTGCTGCCGCTTGTTCTGTAACCTTTCTTCTTTAGCTGTAACACTTAACCCATTCAATAAAATGTGATCCACGTTACAAGGAGAGATTTCTTTTAATTATCAGAAGGCATTACTAACTATTCTCTTCCAGTAGTTGTCTCCTGCCTCTAGAAGTAGCAGGTTACCTGGAATGTTTCTTATCCGATGATAACTAATGACTTCAGTCCTGGTAACTGATCTGAATTTTATCTGAATGTGCTGCAGTTCTCTGTACATTAAGACGGCAGGCCTAATTCTGTGAAAGCTTTTCCAGCTCTACAGGGATTCAGTGCCCTTTTTAGTTTGTTCTTACTTCAGCTGATTTTAAAAAGACTGTTTTGCATCCTCAGAATAAAAAATGTATGTATTTTTTTCCTGGCACCATAAAAAAAAGTGAGCAAAGCCAAAAAATGGTAACAGGAAGAGGAAAACTCAACTTTTATCTCTTTGTAAAGGTGGGACATATTCACATGAGAGGACAAATTAAGTGGTTTTAAGCTTTCTTTGCTCTCCTGCTCTTGCAGAACTTTGATCAGGCTTACAAAATTATCCTGTAGGGACAGACTTGTGTTTACAGGCTTTCATTTTTAATCAACAAACTTTCACGTCCTCTATCATTCTTGCCAGCAGAAGCCTGCGTGACTCCTAGCAGTCTAGCTGCTACAAAATATCTCAGCATAAGATGAAAATCCATCCAAGAAGCAAATGACTGTTTTCCATACAGCAACAGCTGCTGCTAGAAACCAGAGTCAGTTTGTTTCAAGTGAAGTTGGGTATTTCTACACTGCACCACGTTAACATGGTTATATTTTATAAAGTTTGTCAGGATACTTAAAAAGGCTGGTGTAAACAGAATATGCCCCTGATGTATTTGGAAAAGCTTCATGGTGACAGGAGATAGAGAAAATTAAGACAACACCAACAACTGAACAATTGAACTGTGTATTCCCAGAAAAAAAAGAGTTGCCTTGCCAATTAGTAGGAAGTTCAGCCTCATGCACTTGAGGCCTAGAGTCTGAATGACAAGTCTCACTCAATACAACTGAAAGTCCCCCAAATGAGAAAATGCTACAGATTTTAATAGAAATTAAATCAAAATAGGATATTATGGAAATTTCTTTGCACAACTGAAAGAAAAATAATGTAGAAATAGCAGAAACTGATGTCATTTGAGTACACATTCCACACCAGTTGTGATGACTCTCCCAGTCCAGAAACATCCATTCTACAGATATCCCAAACCAGAGAGCCGTACTGACCCTTGTATCAGTTCTGGATAACTCTACAAATTGGTTTAACCTAATGACTCCCATTCAAGGCCTTTCTACCTCATTCACATTCCTCATTCAGGTTGGATACCAGAGAGAATTTCTTCTCAAAAAGAGTGGTAATGCATTGGAACAGGCTGCCCAGTGAAGTACGTGGTGGAGTCAATGTCCCTGGAAGTGTTTAAGGAAAGGGTGGATGTAGCACTTAGCCACATAGTTCAGTGGGCAACATCAGCGATAAGTGCGCAGTTGGATTGGATGATCCTAGAAGTCTTTTTCAACCTATGGTTTTATGGCTTTTCAGAGGTAAAAAAAAATAGCAAATGATATAGCCTTGTCTGTCCCCAAGCATCATGTGGCAATTCTTTTGGCATATGATGAGATGGACAGGATTTCCATTTAATTATTAGACAGTCATTGCACAGTACTGATTTACGGGTATCAGGACTTTGATCAAAGCCCCTGAAGCTGAAACAAAGTTTGGTCATTTTGTATTTGCAGTGTTTTATGAGCAAATGAAAACTCTTTACAAACTAGCACTACACAAGCATCTGTGATCTGATCACAAGATGTAATATAATGTTTTTGTGGCATTTCTGTCAGCAAGAGTAGACTGAGCAGGGGAATGAAAAACATTAAATGTTCTACTATCACATCCGTGTGTTTCCATTCTTCAGTGCGTCTGTGCAGACAGACGTATACTTTACTACTTTTCTCTTGGCAAGATTAATACTAGTTGCTGGGTCCCTTTTGTGAGCACTACTGTGAGTCAAACTGTTTTCTTCTTTTCATCTATGGAATTTCTTGTTAGTAGTTATTTTTAAGTAAGACGTTGGTTTCTCACAGGCCTCATGGAAATAAAGGAAATGTGAAAAACATCTACTGGAAAAATCTTCATACTTTAGCAGGCCCAGAGCATTTTATAATCAACATGAGATTTTCGTCCTGAATTAACGACTTCTTTGTTTTAAAAAAGAATACCAATACTAAACAAACAAACAAAAAAGATACATTTGCTTCTCATTCTCAGTGTTTATTTTTGGAAGTCTTCCAGAATTATCTTTTGACTGTGGCTGCTGATGTGGGCTAAGGAAGCATTCACTAGCTTCAGTATTTCTAGAGGGGCCTTGGGAATTTATTTACTTATTTAGTTTGTTTTTACAGGGGGGGAGACAGTATTCTTTTTTTTTCTTCTTTTTTCTTCAAAAAGTGGATGGCAAGTTGAAGACTGTTTCACTGACTCCAACATCTGTCCAGAAGGATATCAGCAAACTGTTACAGTGAGAGGGACAAAAACCTTCTGGTAGAGACTTTAAAATCAGAAGGGAAAGAAAAAGTGTTATCCTTTCCTAGCAGAAATCTCCTGGCTTAGCTCCTTCAAATTACTGCATATAAGAGTCAGCGTAACTCTCTCCACAAAATTCATGTTGGCTGAAGCTTTCAAAATAAATACGTATCTGCTTCATTTCCATTTGCTGATGCACTTAAGAGGAGAAACCTAACAGAAGATACGGCCAATTGCAGGTTTATTCAGCCTGTAAGTCATGGCATATTTCACCAACAAACACAAGTCCTATTCTGTCCTCCATTCACCATGAGGACTCAATAAGAAGTTAGCACTTTCATGCTCTCTGGCTTGCAAGGCCTTGTAATTAATTTCTGATTGCAATTACAGGAGAACACAGACTTTTTTCCATTTGAGAACAAAGAAAATGGGATGGCGTGGGTGAAATTTAAAACCTTACATCAGTTTGACATGGAGCACTGCTCTCTGTATGCCCTCCACACAACATCTGATTTGCTTGTCAGCTGGCTTAGGGTCAGCAGTGGCTGCTGCAGACTGGAACAGGGGAGGCTTTTCAGTGGGCATGAGAGCAGGAGAGCAAGACTACAAGTGTTGTCCATGAGGCACTATCAACTCAAGCCAGTTTCAAGCTTTCTCCTTGAAAGTACTGAAATGATATTTTAAACCAAAGTTTACGGTAGGTAAAGAAAGGAAATTCTGGTTGATCGTCTGGGTTAGCTAGAGTAAGGTTCAACAGATCAGCTAAATTCAAGAGCTTAATCAGTTTATTTAATAATGTGACAGTCAGGGTGACATACTTCGTAAGAGGATTTGAAAAAATGGAAGAGCAAGGAAAAAGGTGGTTTAGTATCTTCAAAATAATCTTTGCAGAATTTGTTCTTGGAGTTTGAGGACTTTCAACTATCTGGAAATGATACATAGTCTGCAAAAACAAAGGAAATATGGGAGAGAAAATCTCCATCTTAAATCCCGGGTGCACTCTGTGAAGAGCCTTATGCTATGCAAGCATTCTAAGAACTGGTGATGTGGCTGAAGGCTATTACTTTCAGGATCAAATACCAAACAAAACAAAAAACAAACAGCAAAGAAATACAAACTATCTCCCCAGGTAAGAACATGGATCTTGCCTTTTTTTCAATTCCAATTTTATGCTTTCTTTATCTTTACTGAATTCATTCTTGAATATCTCAGCATAAGAAGACATTACAAGAATTTCATAATAAGAATTCTCCCTACTGCGATAGCATCATATTCAAAGGGAGAACTTCTGTGATAATTAGCATCGATGGAAAATGCATGCAAGAGATCAACAAACAGAGACATTTTATTTTATAGTGATTTCACTTTAAGTTAGATGAACATTGTGTTTAACCCAATAGGCAGCTAAGCACCATGCAGACATTTGCTCACTCCCCCCACAATAGAGAGAATTGGAGAAAAACTAAAACTCATGGGTTGAGATAACAACAGGTTAATAGGATGGAAAAGGAAGGGAAACTATATATAAGTATAGAAAAATATAAGAAAATATATAAAACCAGTGATGCACAGTGTAATTGCTCCCCACCCGCTGACCAATGCCCAGCCAGTCCCTGAGCAGCAGCAACTCCTGCTGGCCAACTCCCCCAAGTTTAACTGTCCAGCATGACGCCGTACGGTACGAGGCATCCTTTTGGCTGGTTTGGGTCACCTGCCCTGGTTCTTTTACCTCCCAGCTCCTTGTGCCCCAAAATCTTTTCTGGCTGTGCAAGAAGCTGAAAAGACCTTGACTTAGTGTAAGCACTGCTCTGCCACAACGAAAATACCAGTGTGTTATCAACATTACTGTCATCCTAAATCCAAAACATAGACCCATACCAGCTACTAGGAAGAAAATTAACTCTATCTCCCCCAAACCAGGACAATAACTTAACAGAGATTTTTCTGAATTATATAAACACCACATGTTTTCAGCGCCTGGTCTTAAGCACTATGGTTCTAAATTTATTGTTAATGACCAGAGTTAACAGAATCTAAAAAATGTTTTAGACAATGATAAAAACAATTAGTGTCCTGTGATGAACATAATCTAGATACAATCCAAGTTGAAGCGCACTAACTCTTAACTGCAATCTGAGAGTGTGCTGATAAAGACCAATAAATATGCAGAGAATTTCAATGCTGACAGGAACAATCAATGGCACATCTAGAATTAAATATGTATATTCTACTTCTGCCTCTTGACAATTCCATTTGTCTTATATTACTGAGCTAGATAAGAAAAAATGGAAGTCCAGGCAATCATAAGCACAAAGTCTTTTTTAAAAAGAGATAGTTTTATGCTGTAAAATAATGATTGACAGTTAAGAAAAGTTTAAGGAATTAGCATAGCAAGAAACTGTATTACAGAAAGTGATCCCAATTCTGCAACTTACCTCTTCCCTATGATTCTTTATTGGCATACAGAGAATACTCTGAGTCTTATACCCTGTGATCTGGTCAACTTCTGCATTGAATCTTGGATCCTGATACAAGAGAAAAATATGATTATTTGAATACATGCCTTTTTAAAAGGTTGAAAAAGTCTGACATCTGAATTAACCGTTATATAGGATAGCAAAGGTTCCATTACTACTTAATAATCAAAGTTGTTATTAACTGTGTGTTCAAAGGAAAAAAAAAGTGCATCATGAGTGCCAATGGATAAATAGTTGCCAGACAGAGCAAGAAAAAAAACAAAAACAAACAAAAAAAAACTGTCAGAAGAAGCCTTTCTTCAGTCTAGACCATCATTATAATTAATTTATGCATGTATCTCCAATGAAGCTTTTATCATCAAGCAGAAATTTCAGAAACATTCAGAAAGACGTGGCCACAGGAAAACAAAGTTTCATGAAGATGGCTGGTCTTTTTGTCTTATTCTGTTGCATCTTTTTTTTTTTTTCAGCTGAATGTTGTTATAAAGCCTTGATTTTTTTAAACCTCACTATCCATTTCTAAAGAGTGCTGTCTTTTCTCTGGCAATTTATTTCAAATTGAGCACAGTGACCCAAGTCAAGGAGAAACTTTTAAAATACAAGGATAAGTAAAGTCCCACTGTAATAATGTAATTAGCAAACATTTTTTGAGTTCCTTGAAAATTACACCAATATATGCAATCATTCTGCACTCCTTGTAGCTTCTGAAAAATACTACTTGGTAATGGTGCCCAATTCTACAACCATGCTCAGAGTAACCAAGACACGATTGATCGGAAGTGCACTGTGCATTTTTATCTCTGTATATTTGACTCAATCAATTAATTTAATACATTTCCATCACCACTAAATTCAGTCACCCCTAAAGCACAAAGTAAACATATCCAAAGATTCTGGAAATAAGTGATGTTCAGATGAGGTGTAAGAGAAGTCTTGTCCCACTGCTGGATTCCCTTCCTTTTTTTCATCTAGCCTTGTATTAAATTAGACAAATTATAGTCTTATTTTATTTGGAAGACTGCTATACAGTTCAAACCCTCATCCTGGTCTTATTTCTTCCGCTCTTGCTCTTTATGCCTCAGATACAATCAAATTCTCAGAACTGTTTTCTGTTGTAAGACTGTAGTTTTGCAGACAATTACACTAATAATTTCATTCCTTTTGGTACAGAAACCTAAACATTTTCTTGTTCAAAGCTAGAAGTGCAAACAGTAATGTGCACATAAATGGTTAAGTCTGAAAATCAGACTGCTAATGACAAAGTTAAATAATTTATTTGGAAGTTATCATTCCAGTTGCATTAGTCATAGCTCCAAGTCTCTGTGTAATACATGTATTATAATTGGAAGTTTACTGTCTGCTTTCTATCTTTACTGGGGTATGTCAGTGTAGCTCCAAATACATGTACTAAAATGACAATATTACATCAGCTGGTAATATGGCTGTTTCTAGTTTCACAATAGTTCATGACAGGTCTTCTTGGTTTACCTCATATGCATTCTTGATATTCAAAGGCTGGCCTGTAGCAGCTACGTGGCCCACGATGCCCTTGTTCCACTCCAGGCGAATGCAGTTATTTGAAGCTTCTTCCAGGGTGGAACCTTCAGCCACATCAAACAGCCTGCTTACAAGAAACTTCTCGTTAGAGCTATCCTCACAGACCAAGAACAAGGAATAGCGATCAGCAGCTATAAGCTCATGGATATGTAGGAAAATTTTATGGCAAAGTGCTGTGACATCCAAATGACTAGAAATGTCTTTCACAAGTTCTAAAAGCCTTGAGCACCGATCCCCTGCATTGGTCCCAGTCCTTGGAGATTGCAGAGGCATCTGTTCCTTCTTTTCAGAGCCAGAGAGGAAGCTTACTGCTCCTACCGAGTCCTTGACAAAAATCGGCCTCAAGGGTCTGTCAAATTCTGAAGCAGAGATTTTCCTTGCTGGTGTTCCAGAGTTGGTGGTCTCAGGGCAGGCAGGCTGGTGACAAGCACAGGATTCACTCTGAGACTTGGTCCCCTCCTTGCAGACAGGGATGGTATGAACTCTCTCAGCAAACCATGCATTAACCATTTCTCTGTAAAACAACAATAAAATATAGTAAACAGTGAAAGTTAAAAATCTTCAGAAACTAATATATTTGAAGAAGACACTGCAAAGAGGATAACTTTGAACATTTTCATACAGTGAACGTGAGGGCACCTTTAGAGCTCCTCTCTATCAATATTCTTCTATTTTAAGCAGTGCTTAGCCTATGTTAAGTCATACTGTTTTATCCTCCATGACAAGAAAACTCTTTCTCCTTGAAGGAAATGCCTGAAAAGGCAGAGGAAGACTGCTTATTATGTGGCTTTCAGAATATAGAAGATCAAAAGTTTACACTAATTTTGTGCTTGAAATTTATAATTTCAATTATTTATAAATGAAACTGAAAAATTTATACATTGATTTATAAAATGTATAAACGAAGACGAAACTTCTTGTTTTAATTCTACCTTTCTATCTTGATTTATCTGTATATCATCAATAACATAGTATACTTTTTCTTATCAGTATAGTATGTACTCTAATATATTTCTTGTCCAAAATTTATTGGTTCCTTTTAATATGGGGCTTTTTATTTAATTCTCTCTGTAACAAGGCTTTCTCACAGCTCATGATCTGCTCACAGTGGAAGTAATTTTTTTCTGAATTACATAATGTTTGGTCCTATGAACAGCAAATATCTTATTAAAAAGTCTGATCTCTTGGAAATCTTTCATGGTGGTCATGTTTTAAATTTGAGATATTTTTTATTTGCTCAGCAGACCACAAGAATTTCAAGAGTGAAGCTGAATGAAACCATGGAAATTAATCAGGTTAGTCAGCTGCTGATAGGTTACAGGCATCAGCATGTGTTAAATATGTGGAGCATAGCACATGACCTTTCTTTTATTAATCTATGTTGTAGAATGCAACACCATAAGTTAGTTGCTAATTGCTAATTCAGAGAAATGTAGCTGATTAAAACCTAAAATCCACCAATCCTATATCTATTAGCAAGGAATCCACAATAGAAAACTTATCTGTCTTAACACTGAGTAGGTTTGAAAGAATTTCTCAGATTTTACAATTGTATACAACTCATAGGCCTCAGCTGCAGGCAAACATGCTATGAAAAAATAAAATGGCTTTGGAAATTGTGTGACATAGGAGCATGGGAGACAAAACTCTTTCCTGTACAAACTGTAGCTGAGTGGGAGAAGTCTAGTTGTCCTGACTCAAAATGTAAAAGCAGGCAGTGCCTTCCTTCTTACTTCCGCAGGAGTGAACCTCATTTTTTCCAGTTTGCTGTTTTCCAATGATCTCTTAGAAGAGATAAATTGGCAACATTCTTCACTTTCAGTCTCTGACGTATGTTCACGTATCAAATGACTCAACTGTCAGTACATGGAGTAATGATAATTAAAAATCAGGAATCAGTGCTCTAGTTTAGAAGGCAAGTGAAAAGTGAAATGTAGCCTATGACTAAGTCAAGCCCACATAGGGATAGTGGACTTTCTGGGCAAATTCAGTTAGGTCAAAATGACTGCATGCAAGCTGGTATAGAATCAGAGAATCAGAGAATGGCCTGGGTTGAAAAGGACCACAATGATCACCTAGTTTCAACCCCCTGCTATGTGCATGGTCTCCATCCAGCAGACCAGGCTGCCCAGAGCCACATCCAGCCCGGCCTTGAATGCCTCCAGGGATGGGGCATCCACAGCCTCCTTGGGCAACCTGTTCCAGTGCATCACCACCCTCTGTGCGAAAAAATTCCTTTAATATCTAACCTAAACCTCCCCTGTCTCAGTTTAAAACCATTCCCCCTTGTCCTATCACTATCCACCCTCATAAACAACCGTTCCCTCTCTTGTTTATAAGCTCCTTTCAAGTATTGGAAGGCCACAATGAGGTCTCCTGGAGCCTTCTGTTATCCAAGATAAACAGGCTCAGTTCCCTCAACCTTTCCTCATAGGAGAGGTGCTCCAGCCCTCTGATCATCTTAGTGGCCCTCCTCTGGACCCACTCCAAGAGCTCCACATCCTTCCTGTACTGGGGGCCCCAGGCCTGGATGCAGTACTGCAGATGGGGCCTCACAAGAGCCGAGTACAGGGGGACAGTCACCTCCCTCTCCCTGCTGGCCACCTCTTTTTTAATGCAGCCCAGAACACAGTTGGGCATCCAGGCTGCAAGCGCACACTGCTGGCTCATGTCCAGCTTCTCATCCTCCAGGACCCTCAAGTCTTTCTCCACAGGGCTGCTCTCAAGGAGACCTTACCCCAGTTTGTATAAATACCTGGAATTGCCCCAGCCTGAGTGCAACACCTTGCACTTTGTCCTGTTGAACCTTATTAGGTCCACAAGGGCCCACTTCTCCAGCCTGCCCAGGTCCCTCTGGATGGCTTCCCTTCCCTCCAGTGTGTCAACAGTACTGCTCAGCTTGGTGTCATCTGCAAACTTGCTGAGGGTGCACTCAATTTCATCATCTGTGTCATTGATGAAAATGCTGAAGAACACTGGTCCCAAGACCGACCTTTGGGGGACACCAGTTCTGACCAGCCTCCACCCAGACATAGAACCATTGATCATAGCCCTTTGGCTGAGACCAGCCAGCCAGCTCCTAATCCATTGAACAGTCCATCTTTCAAATCCATACCTCGCCAATTTAGAGAGAAGGATGTGGTATGAGACCATGTCAGAGGCTTTGCAGAAGGCTAGGTAGATGACATCCGTACCTTAAAGGCTGAATGTCCATTGTGGTCACATAACACATTTGTGAATTTTCTGAAGATGAGAGCATTGAGTTTCACAGAATTATAGAACTGTTTGAGTTGGAAGGTACCTTAAAAGGTCATCTAGTCCAGCTCCCAACTCTTTAGTTGTAAGGGTGTTTGTCCAAAGCCACTAAATGAAAAATTGGATAGCATTAAGGCAGTGAAAGATTTGCCTCTGAGTTCCACAGGTCTAGTATTTCATTCCTTGTTTTTCCATTTTCCATAAAGCTCCTGAAAAAGTGCTTGCTATAGCAGTAATACACTTCAATCAACAGCTATTATAACTTTCCCAGCAATCTAAAGCTAATCCAATTATTGGAAACATTATGCCAATGAATACTATGAAATTCCGTTGTTATTCTGAGTGAATTTTGGTTCATTGCTTAGTTACTTAGTATTCAAGGACATAAACTATGTTTTTTTAAGTATATTAATAAAAACCACTGATCTTTTTTAATTAAAGCAGTAATCACCTCAAATATTTCTTTAAATGAAGAAACACAAGGAACATTTGATATATTAATTAAGACTTCAATTTTAACAAGTTTACTTTATAGTACTTTACACAGCATAAATACTAAATGTAGGAGTTGTGACTATTTATTGCTGAAATACATAATATACATAAGGCAATATCACATTTGCAAAACTATTTCAATGAGAATCAAAATAATGTAGCATTCATTCATTTTATAACATTTGAAATCTTCGTTTTTAAATTGAATGAAAAAGCAGAATGAAAATCAGCAATGGCAATGACTAAAAATATCCTTAAGAAAGATAAAAACATAAATGGAAAAAATGTGTAAGTAAACCCAGTACAACTTCTAATTATAAGTGCTAATAACTTTTTATCATACATACTATGTTATATTTCCAGTTGGTTGGTTTTCTGTTGTTTTTTTTTTGTTTGTTTGTTTGTTTGTATGTTTTATTTTAATATTAATCTCCTCAAAAGAAGCAATTACTTCAAAATTGCTTTTGCATTCAAAATGGCTTCTTCTTACCAAAATTTAGCATATAGCACTAAGTCTTCAAGTAAGAATCTGAAAATATGAGCTGAGTACATTTAAAACACATTCAAACACAGGCAGATAAGTAGAGAATAATCAATAGTTTGAAAAGAAGTCTTGTGAGTTGAGCCAATTTCATGTTTGTGTGTGCTGACTTGATTTTTGGACACTGAGGACTGCCACTGGTGTAAAATAAGATTTATATTTGACTGTTTTAACTTAATATGAGATGGAGAGAGCATTCTTAAACTAGCCAGTGATTAGATATAGGAAGCTGTATGCTTTGTCTATGTGTGTTTTATTAATGGATTGGCATGAATCCGTCTATTGCACTGAGTGACAGCATTTTTTAGAGGAATCTGATTAACCACTTACTTATATATGAGAAATAGAGTATAAAATGCTATTATTTTGTTTAGCTCTCATTTACATTGAATCTACGCAGGTGAGTGTGTTGATATAAGGCAAAAAGCAGAGAAAGATTCAGGTATGCCCTGTATGGAAAAGCAAAAACTAAAGCAGAATTTTGGTCTGTCTTGAAACTTGTCCTTTCATTTATTTTTGAGTGTTGTGCAATGATGTCCTCTGGCTCTAATAATGTAGTATGAATAATAAGTAAAACCAATTCCAAAAAAAAAAAAACCATTCTGAATTCTAATACCAGTTCTCAAATTGTGGACATGAAATAATTTAGTTTTTACTTATTTGGCTTTTTGCTCTGTAAAATAAGCGCTGTAATGCTTTTCTGTCTTCTGGAGGTTATTGAGGGATGTGGAACATAACTGTAAAACCTTTCTAGTGAAAGTAATTGCATTTCTTTAATAAGATCTGGCTACTTGTTAGCCATCTGCAGTACTTAGAAGTGCTTTGACATAGAACAGAACTGTATGTGGAGCTTCATAATTATGAGTAACATATTCCTCTACCCCTTAATGTCTCTTAGATGACATTCCAATAGATGGCCAACACAGCATGCAGTTGTCAAAGAGCTCTGTAGGTTAACAGCAACAACAAAATCTTTACCTATACTTTTTAAACTTCAAAACTTTTTGAACTTCATACCATTTAGGCATTTTAGTTTAGGCAACAAGAAAGCTGTTCAAATTCAGATGGAATAAGAACAGTGTTTGCTGACCTTTTACTGAACACTGTTAACAAGGAAACTATTTAGCCCTTTTACACACAGTTATGGGTGGAAGAACAGATTTTCACATCAACCGATCTATTCTAGTTGTGTGTGGAATCTATGAGATGAAGTATTGAGAAGT